TGATGCTGTTCTCACTGTCACAGCACACTGATGCTGTCCTCACTGTCACAGCACACTGATGCTGTCCTCACTGTCACAGTACACTGATGCTGTCCTCACTGTCACAGCACACTGATGCTGTCCTCACTGTCACAGCACACTGATGCTGTCCTCACTGTCACAGCACACTGATGCTGTCCTCACTGTCACAGCACACTGATGCTGTCCTCACTGTCACAGCATACTGATGCTGTCCTCACTGTCACAGCACACTGATGCTGTCCTCACTGTCACAGCACACTGATGCTGTCCTCACTGTCATAACACACTGATGCTGTACTCACTGTTTCATAGCACACTGATGCTGTCCTCACTGTTTCATAGCACACTGATGCTGTCCTCACTGTCTATAACACACTGATGCTGTCCTCACTGTCTATAACACACTGATGCTGTCCTCACTGTCTATAACACACTGATGCTGTCCTCACTGTCACAGCACACTGATGCTGTCCTCACTGTCACAGCACACTGATGCTGTCCTCACTGTCACAGCACACTGATGCTGTCCTCACTGTCATAACACACTGAAGCTGTCCTCACTGTCATAACACACTGATGCTGTCCTCACTGTCACAGCACACTGATGCTGTCCTCACTGTCACAGCACACTGATGCTGTCCTCACTGTCACAACACACTGATGCTGTCCTCACTGTTTCATAGCACACTGATGCTGTCCTCACTGTCTATAACACACTGATGCTGTCCTCACTGTCTATAACACACTGATGCTGTCCTCACTGTCACAGCACACTGATGCTGTCCTCTCTGTCACAGCACACTGATGCTGTCCTCACTGTCACAACACACTGATGCTGTCCTCACTGTCTATAACACACTGATGCTGTCCTCACTGTCTATAACACACTGATGCTGTCCTCACTGTCTATAACACACTGATGCTGTCCTCACTGTCTATAACACACTGATGCTGTCCTCACTGTCACAGCACACTGATGCTGTCCTCACTGTCACAACACACTGATGCTGTCCTCACTGTCACAGCACACTGATGCTGTCCTCACGGTCATAACACACTGATGCTGTCCTCACTGTCATAACACACTGATGCTGTCCTCACTGTCTATAACACACTGATGCTGTCCTCACTGTCACAACACACTGATGCTGTCCTCACTGTCACAGCACACTGATGCTGTCCTCACTGTCTATAACACACTGATGCTGTCCTCACTGTCATAACACACTGATGCTGTCCTCACTGTCTATAACACACTGATGCGGTCCTCACTGTCACAACACACTGATGCGGTCCTCACTGTCACAGCACACTGATGCTGTCCTCACTGTCATAACACACTGATGCTGTCCTCATTGTCACAGCACACTGATGCTGTCCTCACGGTCATAACACACTGATGCTGTCCTCACTGTCATAACACACTGATGCTGTCCTCACTGTCATAACACACTGATGCTGTCCTCACTGTGTATAACACACTGATGCTGTCCTCACTGTCTATAACACACTGATGCTGTCCTCACTGTCTATAACACACTGATGCTGTCCTCACTGTCATAGCACACTGATGCTGTCCTCACTGTCATAGCACACTGATGCTGTCCTCACTGTCATAACACACTGATGCTGTCCTCACTGTCATAACACACTGATGCTGTCCTCACTGTCATAACACACTGATGCTGTCCTCACTGTCACAGCACACTGATGCTGTCCTCACTGTCATAACACACTGATGCTGTCCTCACTGTCTATAACACACTGATGCTGCCCTCACTGTCTATAACACACTGATGCTGCCCTCACTGTCTATAACACACTGATGCTGTCCTCACTGTCACAGCACACTGATGCTGTCCTCACTGTCACAGCACACTGATGCTGTCCTCACTGTCATAACACACTGATGCTGTCCTCAGGGTCATAACACACTGATGCTGTCCTCACTGTCATAACACACTGATGCTGTCCTCACTGTCACAGCTCACTGATGCTGTCCTCACTGTCATAACACACTGATGCTGTCCTCACTGTCTATAACACACTGATGCTGTCCTCACTGTCTATAACACACTGATGCGGTCCTCACTGTCACAGCACACTGATGCGGTCCTCACTGTCACAGCACACTGATGCTGTCCTCACTGTCATAACACACTGATGCTGTCCTCATTGTCACAGCACACTGATGCTGTCCTCACGGTCATAACACACTGATGCTGTCCTCACTGTCATAACACACTGATGCTGTCCTCACTGTCATAACACACTGATGCTGTCCTCACTGTCTATAACACACTGATGCTGTCCTCACTGTCATAACACACTGATGCTGTCCTCACTGTCTATAACACACTGATGCTGTCCTCACTGTCTATAACACACTCATGCTGTCCTCACTGTCATAGCACACTGATGCTGTCCTCACTGTCATAACACACTGATGCTGTCCTCACTGTCATAACACACTGATGCTGTCCTCACTGTCATAACACACTGATGCTGTCCTCACTGTCTATAACACACTCATGCTGTCCTCACTGTCATAGCACACTGATGCTGTCCTCACTGTCATAACACACTGATGCTGTCCTCACTGTCTATAACACACTGATGCTGCCCTCACTGTCTATAACACACTGATGCTGTCCTCACTGTCACAGCACACTGATGCTGTCCTCACTGTCTATAACACACTGATGCTGTCCTCACTGTCTATAACACACTGATGCTGTCCTCACTGTCACAACACACTGATGCTGTCCTCACTGTCACAGCACACTGATGCTGTCCTCACTGTCTATAACACACTGATGCTGTCCTCACTGTCATAACACACTGATGCTGTCCTCACTGTCTATAACACACTGATGCGGTCCTCACTGTCACAACACACTGATGCGGTCCTCACTGTCACAGCACACTGATGCTGTCCTCACTGTCATAACACACTGATGCTGTCCTCATTGTCACAGCACACTGATGCTGTCCTCACGGTCATAACACACTGATGCTGTCCTCACTGTCATAACACACTGATGCTGTCCTCACTGTCATAACACACTGATGCTGTCCTCACTGTGTATAACACACTGATGCTGTCCTCACTGTCTATAACACACTGATGCTGTCCTCACTGTCTATAACACACTGATGCTGTCCTCACTGTCATAGCACACTGATGCTGTCCTCACTGTCATAGCACACTGATGCTGTCCTCACTGTCATAACACACTGATGCTGTCCTCACTGTCATAACACACTGATGCTGTCCTCACTGTCATAACACACTGATGCTGTCCTCACTGTCACAGCACACTGATGCTGTCCTCACTGTCATAACACACTGATGCTGTCCTCACTGTCTATAACACACTGATGCTGCCCTCACTGTCTATAACACACTGATGCTGCCCTCACTGTCTATAACACACTGATGCTGTCCTCACTGTCACAGCACACTGATGCTGTCCTCACTGTCACAGCACACTGATGCTGTCCTCACTGTCATAACACACTGATGCTGTCCTCAGGGTCATAACACACTGATGCTGTCCTCACTGTCATAACACACTGATGCTGTCCTCACTGTCACAGCTCACTGATGCTGTCCTCACTGTCATAACACACTGATGCTGTCCTCACTGTCTATAACACACTGATGCTGTCCTCACTGTCTATAACACACTGATGCGGTCCTCACTGTCACAGCACACTGATGCGGTCCTCACTGTCACAGCACACTGATGCTGTCCTCACTGTCATAACACACTGATGCTGTCCTCATTGTCACAGCACACTGATGCTGTCCTCACGGTCATAACACACTGATGCTGTCCTCACTGTCATAACACACTGATGCTGTCCTCACTGTCATAACACACTGATGCTGTCCTCACTGTCTATAACACACTGATGCTGTCCTCACTGTCATAACACACTGATGCTGTCCTCACTGTCTATAACACACTGATGCTGTCCTCACTGTCTATAACACACTCATGCTGTCCTCACTGTCATAGCACACTGATGCTGTCCTCACTGTCATAACACACTGATGCTGTCCTCACTGTCATAACACACTGATGCTGTCCTCACTGTCATAACACACTGATGCTGTCCTCACTGTCTATAACACACTCATGCTGTCCTCACTGTCATAGCACACTGATGCTGTCCTCACTGTCATAACACACTGATGCTGTCCTCACTGTCTATAACACACTGATGCTGCCCTCACTGTCTATAACACACTGATGCTGTCCTCACTGTCACAGCACACTGATGCTGTCCTCACTGTCATAACACACTGATGCTGTCCTCAGGGTCATAACACACTGATGCTGTCCTCACTGTCATAACACACTGATGCTGTCCTCACTGTCACAGCACACTGATGCTGTCCTCACTGTCATAGCACACTGATGCTGTCCTCACTGTCATAACACACTGATGCTGTCCTCACTGTCTATAACACACTGATGCTGTCCTCACTGTCTATAACACACTGATGCTGTCCTCACTGTCTATAACACACTGATGCTGTCCTCACTGTCTATAACACACTGATGCTGTCCTCACTGTCATAGCACACTGATGCTGTCCTCACTGTCATAACACACTGATGCTGTCCTCACTGGCATAGCACACTGATGCTGTCCTCACTGTCATAACACACTGATGCTGTCCTCACTGTCAGAACACACTGATGCTGTCCTCACTGTCATAGCACACTGATGCTGCCCTCACTGTCTATAACACACTGATGCTGTCCTCACTGTCACAGCACACTGATGCTGTCCTCACTGTCACAGCACACTGATGCTGTCCTCACTGTCATAACACACTGATGCTGTCCTCACTGTCATAACACACTGATGCTGTCCTCACTGTCACAGCACACTGATGCTGTCCTCACTGTCTATAACACACTGATGCTGTCCTCACTGTCTATAACACACTGATGCTGTACTCACTGTTTCATAGCACACTGCCCCTGCAAAGTGCCTTATGATAAAACCTTCATCATCTCTGAGGTTCCTGTGGACAGCCAGCTTAGACTTTCTGGGAATCTAAGAAAAAAGCACAAATATAAGTTACTACATTGCCAAAAGACTGCCAGTCACTTTCCTTAGACAATTCCAAATGCAGGGTACCAAAAATAATAAGAGAATTTTCACATTTTTCATAATTACATGACTTTTAAATGTCAAATATACTTTAAAATATCTGCGGAATCTAACCAACAGCTAATTATGTCTTTGTGGAAATAAACCTGGTATAAGACCAAAATATATACATGTACATATCTACCACACTGAAAGCACACACACACCTTCTACACACAAAACATACACATGAGTACACCTCTTACACATAAAGCATACACACATGCATACCTGCCACACATGGAAGGTGTACACAAATGCCTGTCACACAAAAAATATAAGAATATACACACCTGCCACACATAAAACACATATGTATGTACACTTGTCACACACAAGACATATATATATATATATACATGCCTACCACACACGAAACATAAGCATATGCATACCTGTGACACATGAAACACATACATATGCACACTTGTCACACACAAGATTTATACACATACATGAATGCCACACATAAGACATGTACATACACACATACACCTGCCACACAAAAAACATAACACACATACATACACATATACACATGTGCTACAAACAAAACATGTATGCATGCATGAATGCTGCACACAAAATTTCACACATGGATGAATGTCCCACACAAAGTATACATACATGGATGAATGGCACAAACAAAACACACGTACATTCATGCCTGTCACACACAAAAACTTGGTTAAGAGTGCTTTCTGTTCTTCCAGAGGACTTGAGTTTGGTTTCTAGCACCCGTCTGGCAGCCCAAAACCACTATAGCTCAAGGTGATCCGACACCTTTTTTTGGACTCTGCAGGCACTACCCTGATGTGCACACACCCACTCGCAGATGTATAAAATTTTATTTGGAAGTAAACACAAAACACAGTTGCAAGCTTATTATAATCAGTCAGGTGATTTAAACCTCCCTCACCCCATGTGGGGACACCAGACCTTGAGCAGAAACCCACTTCCCCTTTGGCCTAGGAGCAGGCAGCTGTGAGACAATGTTTACTGAAAACAATTCAGTGCTATAAAGCTCTTGATAGGGCTCAGATAAGGGCTTGCTCACTGAAACACCATGACTTTGACACCCCCTACGGCTAGATGCTTCTTCCTGCTCCCTGCTCCCGGATTCTGGGGCCAGAGATTAAGCCACCAGCCAGGATGGTGAGAAGTCTGGGTGCTGTGAGAGGTGTGTGAGAGCTCGGTTGGAGAATTGTATGTAGATGGATGGCAGAAGTCCTTAAAAATGGAAGCGTTTTTTCTTGGGGAGTTCTCCTAGCCAACTTGGGGAGCAAAAAGTTTTCTAAAAGCAACCGACCGGTCTCTGTGTCATCTATCCCGTCCACCTCGCTACATTCTCGGATGCAGGCTGCACAGCAGGTGCAACAACCCCATGCTGTTTGTATAGGATGATTCTCAAGTGTGGCCAGGAAGGAAACCATGATATCAGCACAAGGATACTTTTGGTGTGTCTCAAAAACCAACTGTCCTAACATTTTACACAGTGAGCCTGAAACTACTTGAAGGAAACTACACCATTTCACGACAGTAACATTTAGTTACAGTATCATATATTTGAATTATTTAAACTTTCCGAAATTCTTTCACATATATGATCACATCTCTCTCTACAACTAATCCAAGGGGAAGGAGACAGAACCATTTAAAATGGACAGGCTAAGCCTTGGGACCCGAGGTCTGAGCTCTTAGAACAGAGAAAGGGCTGTCACTGAGAAGCCAAAATGGAGGCACTGCTGCCACGCCACCTTGCCTGCCTCCTAACTCACCGCATCCTCACATGCCATCAAGGCGTGTCACTTACCTCCCTCTCTGTCTCTCATCTATAGAATAAAGATACTGGTAGGATTAAATATAGTCATTCAAGCACTTGGACAATGTGAAGTGTTCCATGAATAGCCATCACCTTTATTTAAAAAACAAAGCAAATAAACAAACAAGCAAAAAAGACCAGCAAAACTAATGGCCTATGTAAATTTGGATTTATTGCTTTGTTCTTGTTTGTTCTCCCTGAGAAAAGCAACCAGGCCTCATTCCTGATATTTGAGCTTCTGGGATTATTCTGGTCACAGTTATGTTGACTGAGATCAGCACTCTTGGTGTAGGAACCATGTGTCAGTATTAGCAGAAGTTTTGTTGAGGACACATATTGTTTTGTTTCTTTTCACCCAAGTATTAAAAACGAGCTGTGCATTGTGATGACTACTAGAGATACGTAAAAACTGTAAGTCAATGGAGAAGATGGCTCTGAGGGTTCGAACACGAGTTTTTCCAGTGAAGCCAGTGAATCTATCTTCCACTGATGTTTGTTTTGTCAATTTTTTTATTTTAAATTGTCTTTGCCTCTTTTTTACCATTTTAATGGGGTCTCACATTTGGTGTGTATATGCTTTGTCACTTGTTAATAATGACCACAAATGAGCATATTTGTTACCATTCATTTAAGCAGCTTGACCCATCAAAGCAGTGACCATTACTCAATTTCACAACTTCAAACACATATGGTTAATGGAGGCATTTGCCAACGTGTACCCTAAGCCCTAAGCAATTCTAAGCAGCTTCTCTCATTTCTTTTTCTGTCTTCTTCTGAGGGAAGTGGGGAGAGCCCTGCTGCTATTCTCCCTGACAGGAAGTAACATCTACATTGGTGACTGAAATGCAAGTCAGGCTTTCTATACGCGGGTGAAGCTATTCTGTACTGTCTTAGGGGATGGCAGTTGAGTGGAGGAACAAGCGCAGAGTGAGAGGAACACAGGAAACTGTGCCACGCTCACAGAAGAGCAGCCTCACTTTCACTGGCACAGGGCTCAACCTGGGCACTTGTTTTTATTGCTCGCCTTACCTTACCAAATCTTTATACCGCCTGATCTTCTTGCCAATTCAGTATCATTGCCCGCTCTGGGTGCATGAGCTACTGCACTCAGCTAAAGCTTGTCTGTCAAATGTGTGTGTGTGCGCACTCGCACACACATATGCACAATCATGCACATGAGCACATGTGTGAGCACATGCATGAGCACACACACACGCACATACACACACACACAAGCATACACACACACTTTTATGACCATCTATAGGAAATATCTGCTGGCTTTAACCTAATTGTTCTAATCTTTGGATCACTTTTGACTCTAGTTGTTAACAATATCTGAAATCTAGTGCAGCTGTTTGCTTAAAGATTTCCCTTCCCAGTAGAAGCTCCTCTGTAGAACGGCAAACTCACAGAGAGGCGAAAGTGGTCCTTGTGCTTCTGGTGAACTGCAGATGTAAAGTGCTGGTCACTCGGCTGTGGAAGACGGTTTTCTTCATCCAGGATATCCAGGATTCCCACTAACTTCACTTCAATTAAGTCTGTTTCAAGATATCAAAACATTCATAGCAGTGAAACGATGCTTTAAAGAGTGTTGCTGGGGGTGGGGGGTGGAATGTAAAATGAAATCAAAAAATAAAAAAATTGGAAAAAAAGAATGTTAACTCAGTTTCAAGAAGCATTTTGAAAAAAGGTAAGAGTTAAGCATGAACATACTCTATCAAAGGCTATCTAGAAGTAGAAGAGTATTAATTTCAAATGTGATCATTTATTTAAAGGTAATATCATAGTTTTAATACACGTTTTGGAAAAAACAACTTCACAAAGAAAGTGACTATTCAGCTCCTGCGTCTATGGCCCCAAGAATGTCAGAGAATGGGGTGAGCGATTGTAAAAGTCAGAACGCAAGGGCATCTGCTCAAGACTGTCGCTCCTAGAAAAAAGCTGCATAAATACTACTGGAACAATGGCAATATCAATAGACACATTAATATGGGAAGGGGAAAATTCCGTGTGGTTCCGCCCCTAGAACTATAGGCAAGTAGTGAGTTTTGGGAGAATTAGCCTCTACCAGAAACAAGCCCCCTTATTGTTTCTCCAATGCAGAGTGTTCAGCCTTGAAACCATATATATACAAACAACAAAATGGATTCAGCAGGGTGTGTGTGTGTGTGTGTGTGTGTGTGTGTGTGTGTGTGTGTGTGTATGCGTGCGTGCATGTATAGATGTATGTGTATAACAATAACAAAGAAAAAGAGTCCATTAACTTGAAAGGGAGCATGGGAGGAGTGTGAGGGAAGGTGGCCGGGAAGGGTTGGATGCAGGAAAGGGAAGGAGGAAGTGATGTAACTCTATTTCAATCCAAAACATTTAAATATTTTTTTCAAAGATAGTAACTGATACCATAAGCATTCTTTGTGTACACTAGGGTAACTGTCTAAGGATCCAGAACCTCCAACTTCCAGATGACATCTACATTCAAACTCAAATAAAACGACACAAGATTTTATATACAGAGTTTCTTAATATCATGTTCAAAATTTGATTTTAAAACTTCAAACAAAATTTTTAACAACAGTGTATTTTTATGTTCCATCCTTTATGTTGCTTGGATTTTCTGCCTAACCAAAATAACAATAAATTTTAAGCATCTTACATAAATCATATATATATGTATGTATGTATGTATGTATATATATATATATATATGTTGGAATACAGTTCCAGAATACAGAAAGAGAAAGGTTCCCAATGCATCTAGCAAAAGATGATGCTTCTCTGAGAACTGATGGTGAAGCAGGTTGAATACACTGAACTAAGCTGTAAATGAAGGTATCCCAGTAGGTACTGAGTGAGACAGAGTCGGACAAAGGATCAACAGAGGGGAAGAAATTGCAGCAAGATTAACAACCCCCACAGCCAAGGCCCAGAGATGAGAAAAGCCACAGTGACTACAGGATATTCAGTAGACCAGGGTAAAACAAGAAAGTCTTTGAAAGGCTACAGTGATATAAAGTGATACTGCTACTGTATTGTGTTGCCAAAGTCTAGCATATGAGTTATTGACTGGACCATCAAATTGAGTTTTCAACTCCCAGACTTGCCCAACATTTGACTTTAGAGATGGCATAGGAAAGAAAAGAAAGAGGATGGGAAATAAGAGAGATGGCTCAGTGACTAAAAGGAGCTGAGATTGATTCCCAGCATCCACACAGAAGCTGACAACCATCTTTAACTCCAGTCCCAGGGGATAAGACGCCCTCTTCTGGCCTCTGTGGATACCAGGCACAAATGTAATTCCCAGTCATCCATGCTGGCAAACCATCCATGAAAATAAATAAATAAATAAATAAATAAATAATAGACAAAGAGCTACCTGGAAGGCAACGGGATAAGGTTTCTTTGTTAATAACTCAAAGCAAAGCAGAGACCCTGTTCTGCTGCTGACATAATATTATCTATATTTAACACGGAATGTCCAAAGCCAACTTGTAAACGGTGAGAGAAACAATCAATCCACAGAAGAACACAGGACTAAAAGCCCCAGGCAAACTACCTACTTCATCACAGGAGATGGCATACCTGTCTGCTTGCTTCCTGAGTAGTGGAACTCCCTTCCTAGCTCACAAAATAGCATTCTAACTAGTAAAATGCATAACACAATAAACAGAGATTTTAGGAGAACTTTCAACAAAGCTGACAAGAATGCCTTGACAGGAAATGTAACTGGCAAGAAGTTCTAAAGAAATCCCCCTTTCCAACACCACAGTCCCAAGTCCTATAACTGTTGTCTAAACTACTGAACGCAGAGGTGTTTCCAGCAAATACATTCACTGTCTCTCCCCTACTTCTCAAAGGAAGAATAACAATATCCATACCTATACAGTCCTGATTGTCCACGTAATGCACTTCATTAACACCCAGGCCCTCTTTCTGATATAGCTCTTGTTCCTGTAAATCAAATATTATAATCATTAATATGGGAATACCATACAACATAAAATGCCCCCAGTGTTTGGTGTCACTTGTAAACAACAGTTACCGGTTAAAATGTAAAATCTTTACCAGAATGTATAGCTCTAAATGGTTTCCTGAAGATGGAACCAAGTTTGAATGCTTGTAGCCAAATAGTAACATCAGGAAAATTAGCATGTAACTACAAATAGATTCAGAGACTTACAGAAAAATAATATATGTAATTAGGAAGAATAATATACCAATGCTATCTCAATGAAAATATATTTTCTGTAGGTAAAGTCAGTATCTTCTTTAAATAAGTTTTGAATATTTTTTATCATATAGGTAACCCATACATTGAAATTAAGTTAGTGTGTTCTAACATTTCTTTTCCATCAACAGCTAAATATTTCTTCTCATGACCTATAACAGGGAAGTTTCCTCACATTCTAGAAGGCACCATCAACTTGGGCCCAATCTGATTTGAAATTCATGTATATACTTAAAGGACTGTACTAAAAGCAAACATAAATGAAGACAGTGAACCTTTTTACATGGTTCCTAATTCTATATAGAGTTTGAGCTGGGTTGGTACGGAAGGGAAGCATTTTACTATGTTACAAACAAAGCACGCGTGTGTGACTTTACCACAAAGCAAGGACTAACGCAATTGAACAGAACACAGGCACTGTCTGTATCTTCTTTACTCATTTGTTTATGCTACAACTGATTAACTACAATCTATTCAAAAATGAACAAAAGCTACAATGTGCCAAAAACCTTGCAGAGAAAAAAAAAACTTTTGGGGAAAGTAGAGGAGACAGTAAAGGGGGAAAATAACAAAACACTGCATATTTCAGCTCAAATACTAGGAAAGGCAATGCTGATACAAAGGAAGTATAAGGTGTGGTGGACCCTAGGGAAGTTCTGAAACACCCTCAGACCTGCCTTCTTCATCTGGACAATGAAGGGCTGGCTTGGATAAACTTTCCAGTCCCTCTGTTCTAACATCTTCAATCAGCAAAGCCCATCCCAGATGGTACAGAAGAAGGAAAATAAAGGAATTGGTAGAAAATACTGGAGAATTCGGGTTTAAGGAGAGAAAATAATGAGCCTTGGAACAAATCAGTTTATCCAAAGCTATCCTTGCTTTGAGTAATCTGCAAAGAACCCTAAAATAACTTTTCCTAGTCTATCTTGGTCTTCTGAGCATCCTCCATGCCCACAGTTTACATACTGGGAACACAGGAAGGAAGTTCCTTCCTGAGGGAGAAATGGCAGCCAGTCAAAGATAGGCCACTCAAAAGCAGTTTGTGACACACAAGAAAACAAGGAAGGAAAAGTGCTATCCAGAGGTACTCCTGACCAGTGGCTGCCCAAAGGTCTCCTCCTGACTGGTGGCTTGGCAGCATATGGGGATCGAGGACAAGTGGGAGGCAGAGCAAACGGAAGCAGGCACTGAGAAGGACAAGAGGCCAAGGCCAGAGATGAGAGTGGGCAGCTGTTTAGCAGTGGCAGAAACAGAGCCAAGCAAATCAAGATGAAAAACACAAGCTGAGCTGACTAATGAAAGTCGTTGGTAAGAAATCACAGACCCTCCCTTCTACAAAGCTGCCCACTAACTCTTCCAAGGGCCCCACACTTCAGCTGAGCAGCTAGTGCCTCCTGGACCACCTGACACTTCATGCCAGACTCCATCAGCTAGGGCAACTGCAATGTGACTGTCTTCCCTGATGTGGATCTATAATTCCAACAATGACATTACTCACCTCCTTCAGGATCCTCTCGTTAAAAAACTGCTGAAGTTTTTCATTGCAATAGTTAATGCAGAATTGCTCAAAGCTGTTGTGTTCAAAGTACTCTAAAAACATAAAACAGAGGAGAGTTGTCAGCACCCAACAACAGTGCTCACTGATTTATCCCAGGATAAAATGCAGTAACAGTCCTGTACATGCTTTGTTTTAAAATCAAGTTTGCAAAACACATAAAAGTCTCTGTCCATCCCCAAAATGTTCTTAACTCCAGACATACTTTGTCAGACTACACTTAGGTATCAGAAATACCTTGTTCTACCAGGACAAACACATGTTCTAGAGTGAAAAATCAAAACGCTACAAGTCATCTCTCTCTAACATAAATCTCTAAAGCACAGGTACTAAAACAACCTAAAGTATAAATGAGATCTTTCACCTGCTTATTCCATTACCAAAAACAAAAACAAAAACAAAAAAAAAAACAAAGATGCTATGATCGTAATGTGTCCTAAAGTTAAGGGTTGGATTATGTCTAAGATGCATGAGACTACAATTTTACACTCTGGACAAGTGTGCCATGCTAAAAAGTGTCTGAAGGCCATAAGATTCTATTGGTGATGGGGGTTCTCTGTTTCTGAACTAATTAGCCTTAGCAGCAGCACTCAGCTTATCTTCATTTATTTCGGCTGTGCTCTAAGAAGATGGCGCCCTCTCCACTGCAGCAGGTGAGATGAGCGTGTTTCCATTTCAGCACTAAGCTGCTTCCTCTGAAAGCTGCGATGAAATGCAGACAAGAACGTATACAGAAAATATATCACAGAGTCACAAGCAGAGAAAGTTTGGGATACTTCTTCACCTGAACTGTCAACTTAACTAGATTGATAAGTACCTAGAACATTGTTAGAGCACACCTCTGGTGTTTGCGAGGGGATTTCACACAGCGCTACCAAACAGAGTGCCTCTCCCTGAATGTGAGAAGTTCTACCCTAGAGGCTGGGGGTCCAGGTGCAGCAAGAGGGGGAGAATCAGAAATCTGCCAAATATAGTCATATCCTCTCTCTCCTCCCCTTCCACCTCCCTTTTTCCTCCCCTCCCGGCCTTCAGGCTGTGAGCAGCTCTGTTCCACCATGGCCGCACTGAAAACAGAAACCTCTAGCCAGGATAAAGGTCACCTTCTTTTGCTTCTTCTTGGTATTTAGTCATAACAATGAGAAAGGCTAACACAACAGCTTTAGAGAAAATATTTTTATATTTGTAAAAAGAAGGTTATCATATACAAATTAACAAAGAAACAATACTTACCAAAACCAGCAATGTCCAGGACTCCAATAAAATAAGAGGATGTTTCAAAAGGAAAACACTGATTTACTCTGTTCACCACATGGTCAAAAAGATGGCTATAGACAGTCTTTGCCAGAGCGTCCCGGGCATTGTTTGCTTGTTCCACTTTCAGAGGGACCCTACAGGGAAGAAAAAAGAATATTCCAAAAAAGTCCTTGAAGTGAGACACCATGAAAATAATGCCAGATATATAAAGTCAAGGTATAGCTGACACACTGGCTATGAGGAACAGCTGCCAAGCTTCCGGTGAGCAGGCAGGGATAAAGTAAGGACTAAATTACAAGAGACGAACTAAAACAATTAAAATCAGACTAAAATATAACACTGGGAATAAGTGACTTAAAAATCATTTTAACATCCAACCTCACTTTACACTAATATATGAAAATTATTTAGAAAAATAATTTTTATTTTGTAAAATATGAAACGAATTATGTTTAATTCAGGGAAATGTTAAAGTTTGGCAAATTATTTAACATAGTTAGAAAAATACTGACACCTTAAAATTTGAATTCTCTAACTCCTGTATGTAGTAACTATATGGGATGATGAGTAAACTGATGGGCTTAGTGAGAACACCTGTCTCAAAAGATGCGGTAGAAAGTGATTGAGAAAGATAACCACCTCAGGCTCTAGACCACACGCGCACGCACGCACGCACGCACGCACACACACACACACACACACACACACTACACAGGCACCAAGTGTACACACACTCTGTAGTCAACCACCCTAACATGTACAAACATCACACTCACACATATACCCTCACATCAGACAAGCGAATAAATACTTCCTAGGAAACAAGAAATTAAAAAAAAACTTGGCTGAAACCTTATTTTCTATCGCTTGCAATTAAATGAAAAATAAGTGGAAAGTGAAGCTGTTTCCTGGATATTCTATAAAGTGAGTTACACTTAGTAGGAGTGCAAGCACACACCATTTATGTGGAAAGCCACTTTTGAGGTAAAATGATCTCTTGCCTAAAACAATCAGATATCTTGATACTGACTCACATTTTTGTAGTTAAGCAAAAACAAACCCACTGCGCTAATAAATTCCATTTTTGTATCAATGCAGAGTATCTGCAATAGACAACTCCAAGCTGTGCAAATCCCCGTTTATTTGTGTGGTGAACTGCAGTCCTTGGAAGCACAGATTTTTCATCTTTCAAGCACAGCTTGAACATTAAAATGGGAAGAATGAATGACGCGCAAGCATTGACCTTAACTCTGTGTTCTCAAAATCCACACGTTTTCCCTTGACAAGCCACAAGGCATGCGCAATGAGGAAGAACTCACTTTATTACAGTTCCTTTGGTGCCCCCTGCTGTGGTGAGCATCACTCTCGTGGTTAAACTGACTCGCAGATCATCTTGGTCCAACCCCAGCAATTCAGCACAATACTCCAGTGATGGGGTGGATTTGTTCTTCAGATTGCAACCACCTAATGGGAATGTTTCAATGTGAAATTAATAAGCACTCGATAAGCAAGGCCTTCTAGATTCATTTCTTAGAATTTTTTTAACTTGTGTAATATTATGGGATAGATGAGGCTCATTTCTAACTTTCAAACCCAGCCCACTTTTTTCTATCCTTACTGGATAGCCCTACTAACAAGCTAAACAGAAAACCCTAGCGGAGGACAAATCCATGGTGTTAGAGATTCTTCCTGCCAGCAGATTCACCCAGTTACTGTTACCTGCTACCAACCGAAGCAAAAGTATTCTGGAAATTTCCAGAAATAAACAATTCCTAAGTTTTAACTTGTGCATTCTTCTGAACAGTGCGACAGAATCTCCTGCCATCCTGCCAGGACAATAATCCGTTTCTCTAACATATCTACACTAAAATTACACAAAAAATAGTGATCACCAGGCAGCCATTAGTTTATTCCTTTGTACCATATTACAGCATTTCTCACAAGAAGGAATTTTTTTTAATCTTAGAAAGGCAAAAACTGTAAAAATAATACAGATCATTTATGTAACTCCCTAAAAACATCTCTAAATGTTTTTATTACTGTTATGTTGTTTATTGTGATATTGTTACCGTTGTGGCACATATATTTGTTACATGGGATTTTTAAAATATAGGCAGTCCTAACAGGTATTTTCTATACTTCCACTAAATAAAACAATTTTATAACATCGGGGAGTTTTACAGAGGTTTGCTGGAAAATGAACTTTATGTTAAGAATCATTATAAAAGTACTGGGTTTCTGTGCAAGTCACTATGACCGCGTAAAGCTTAATTTTCTAGGAAGAAGGGAAAGAAAGCATTTCTAATTAGCAGGGAATGATTTGGATCCATGGTAAGTCACACAAAAAAATGAAGATAAATACAACAAAAGTAGCTATGAAAACAAAAATTATCCCATGTTTATCTCATCCCAATCTCCTCAGCATTCTGTTTCTTCTCCCACAACAGAAAGAAGCGTTTTAAAGTAAGAGAGAAAGCAAACACATGCTAAGTCCCTTTTGATCACTTAGCATGCTTCAGCAGGTAACATGAGGGGTAGGGTATTCTACACAGCTACATGCTCTTCCTTGGGGCAGTACTAAGAGTCAGGAAAGAGCCACTTACCACACATCTACCATTCCCATGAACGTCAATTATTCTACACTTTAAATTACTTTGGTGTATTATTTAGCCTCTCCCAAAGCTCCCTTTCTGTAACAATGCTAAAATACAAACAAAACATATGTTGCAATATACTTTCAGAGGAAATTTTCCAATTCCTCTTTTAAAAAACTCTAAAGATTATTAATGCATGTTCCAAGTACCTAATTTAATGCATCTTCAATTCAATGAATAATAGTCTGTATGTTACTTGATTTATTCACTTACTATCTGCCAAACACCAGTATTCAAAATGCTTTGTAACTACTTATCTCATTGGCCCCCTCAGCATGAGTTGGGGGCTACTATCTCTTTAGAGTGAGGAAATGAAAACAAGGAATGCACAAGGTCACACAAGCAGATAGCACATGACGAAACAATTTGATTGATGGTCATGTGTTCATCCATTACACTATGTTGTGTCTAACATTATTGACTTTACAGATCACTGGACAATAGATCTGAAAGTCACTGAAGACTGCCTATCTTAGTCTGCTTACTCACAAATGACAAGGCTCAGTGGCCCGAAGGTAATGAGACACAATTATGACAATCTTCCGAGCCAGTCAGACACAAGACAAACCAGGCTCTCAAGTCTATTACTTTATAAGTAGCATGCTCAATACTACTATGTAGGTTCCATATCTGCAAAATGAAGGCACCGCCGATCTCATCATTTTTATATGTTTCAGTTACGATTATGAAGGATCTTATGCATAGAAGACACCCCCACCCAGTGTGTGGGGATCAAATGTAGGGCCTCAAAAAGGCTAAGCAAAGCTGTGTATCATGGTACACACCTGTAATCCCCAAACTTGGAGTTGGAGGCTGGAAGGTCACTTTGAGGACAGCCTAGGCTATATGAGACCTGTCTCCAAAAGGGGGAGAGAGGTTTCAGGAGACGTAGCTCAGTGATTAAGAGCACTGTCTGTTCTTCCAGAGAACCCAGGTTCAGTTTCCAGAGCCCACAAGGGTGGTTCATAACTGCCTATAGTTCCAGTTCCATAGGATCTGATACCCTCTTATGGCTTTTATAGGTACCAAGCACATATGTAGAGTGCATGCATTCATACATTAAAAACACATACACACACACACACACACACACACACACACTTCAAATTTTAAAAAGAGGGAGAGATGGAAACAGCTGAGAGGAGGGCAAGTATTACTGAGGTAATCTTGAGCCCAACACATTGTTCCTTAAGTAGTCTTTCCTTCTTTCTCTGAGACTCTGTTCTATACATATACTATTACTAGGAATTGCACTTTTTAAAAGCACTTATGGATTATCTCATTTTGCAAAAGAATATACCTGTGGGAGCTGACGCCAAAGCCCATAGTATTGGCTGCTGTATTAAGTGGTGCTTCAGACTCTTAACGCATCCTTGGTGTAAGTTTCTAGCAAAATGTATTAATGCAGGGCTAGTAAATGTTTTCCTCTGAGGGAGCGGGTAGCAAATACTTTTGTTTTCAGAAGGCAAGGTCTCTGAGGGCACAGCTTTGCCACTGAAGCACTCACACTGGCATAAACTATACATAGACAATGGAAGAAGCTAAATTCCACTAAAATTTTACTTACAAAAGCAGGTGACAGGCTAGATTTATCACTTCTATATTCAGGTATCAAATCTGCAATTATATATAGTCTTATTCTTTAAATAAGAAATGGAAACATTAAAACTGAAAAGTTACTATCTTGGTTGAATTTAAATACTTTTCAACTTCCATAAGAATGAAATTTCCATTTTTATCACCCACTAAAGAATGATAGGCTGCTATTTGTTAAATTACCCCCATTAATTTAGATCTATGAAACAGAAAAGGCAAAATAGATATTAACAGATAAAAGAATTATTCCATCAACTATTTAAAGTACATTATTAACTGGAAAAATTTTAAGTACAAACCAAATAATAGCAACTAATTTGTTCAAAACATTTTCTTTATCTGACAAATGGCCGTAACAGAGAGTGTCCCAGAAATTGTTGTAATATCAACAAACTACACACAAATGACTGAATATTCATATTACTAGGAGATGACAAACATACTCAATTTTATTCTTTAGTTAAGAACTTAAAGAAACAACCTGAAGTGCTTCCAGCTTCTTCAAAATCAATATTTCCAAGGTGTAGGACACCAGCTACGACTCGAAACAGATCAAGCTTTTCTTCATCATCCAAACCAATCTTTTTCATGGCTGTACACATCCTAATAAAATCTCCGTGGTCATCTAATAGAGGATCTTTCAAGGAACCTGCCTTAACATACTATAAAACAAGAGGGTATCAACCGATGGGTCTTTATGTGATTCAAATAAACTAAAAGCTACAGCACTAAGTCTGTTAATGCAATATACAGCATGCAAAAATAAAATCTGTCAACAGAAAAACTTAAGCATTTGAACACATTTAAAAACAGAATGGTATACAAAGTGTGTGCAAGAGCTCTCTGTATTATTTCTTACAACTTCATGTGAACCTACAATTCTTTCAATTAAAACAATAGAATAAGAGGTTTTGTAGTTAAAGTATGTTGCTAACTCTAAAGTATTGTGAGTCTAGGATGTTAGATAAATACAAATTAGTGAAAAAGGAAAGAATGGCTGGCTGAAATGAAGCAACAGCCTCCAATCAAAAAAGAAAGAAAAAGTAGCAATGGATGTGTTCACCCATCTGACTCTGTTAATCCACAATTTATACAATGTTCATGATAACCCATGTAGTTTGCAAATACATACAATTTTGTCAGTTAAAAATAAATATTGAAAAACAGGATAAGTAGAAATAATTGTAATAAAGAATTTAATGTTCCAATAAGCATAGCACTGGGTTAACTACTAATAATTACATCATATAAACAGAAGCAAATCCAGACAAGGTAACAGCATCCCCATGGCCTGACGAACAGTCCTATAACTTTTCTATTGCATGTATGAGATGAGGTGAATTACTACACAATAGGGAAATTCCAGGAATCCATGCAATGACTTTCTGAATTTAAAAAACAAAAAAGAAAGAGAGAAATCTGTTTTTCTCTCCTAGAAAAGCTTTCATCTCAAGCATTCACATGTTAGGATCTAGCAAACTCAGTGAAGAAAGCTAGGCCTGCAAAGCAAAAAGAAGTAACAAAAAAAGAAATTACTGGACACAGAAAAACTGATCTAGGAATTTTCCAGAACTTGAGCACTAAAAGATAAAGTTAAAATGTGGAAAGTCAGCATCAGAATTAATGAGGATTGAAGCTGTCTGAAGTTTTCTCCCAGCATGCAACTGCTTCTCATCTCCCAGCATGGAACTACTTCTCCAGTTAACAGTTTGCCTGCTTTTCACAAGATGCTTTAAATGCCTGACTGTGTGCCAGATTTCCGGAAAATGTCTAGAAAATGAAATTCTATTTCACTCTTTAAAAGAAGCAAAAGCAACATTCACATGCAAAGTTTATGGAAACCATCATGCAGAATTTTTAGTCTCGCAGCTGAGCATCTGCAGCATTTAAATGCTGTTTCTAATCAAATTTTCATGAACGTATGCATTGGCTTCACGGTAGACTGAAAATACTGCATTCTCCTAAATTTGCACACGGCATAAAGACATCCAGACAGAATGAAGCAAGGGTTTAATTAGTCAAAATGATCACCTCGTCCTCCTGACAAAGAAGACATAAAAAGTAATTTAGATACATTAATCCACTGCTCGTCTTTATATATTATACACATGCACATTCTCTTTCAGGGATGTAAGATTTCTGATAAAGCATCCCCACTCTAAAATATGGAAAGATGGCGTTTTCCTCCCAGCACAGAGCATTCTGTTCTTTGGAGGCTGTCATTGTTTTCTCTTCTCTCTACTGCTGTTTCCCATGTGTTTGTTCTTTTCATTTGTTTCCCCTACAGGACCACTGCAATTGTCTGGGATGTGCTTTGATTATCTTAATGACAAGACTATAACTTAAATATTTTGATGGTATGTTATGAAAACATAGTCTTTTTAAAGACGTAGTAAATGCTGTAATAAACGTTCATGTTGCTTCCAAAGTCTCAGCCATGGCTGTGACATAAAATTTACACAGAACTCAGATATCTATGTCTAAAATGACATACAAAGTATCAAATTAAACAAATATTAACTGCAGTTTCATGTGTTCATAACTTGAAAATAGAATTTTATTTTTTCTATACATTTATATTAATGTATTTTTATACATAATTTATCTTACCCAGTCTGAGTAAAGTCAAAACATCTGACTAGCAAATGCAGAACCATTAAAAATTGCTAACAGTAAAAAGTTATTCAACTAACATTAATATGTTTTAAAAATAATAGTCAAGATTAACTAGACCAATAACTAATCCTGATTTAGTTTTCATAACTTAATGTGATGTTTAGAAACAATATGACTCATTACTTGAATTCTGTGAGTTAAAATTTATAAAAGTTTAAAATTCTTAAATAATAATTACATCATTCTTAGATTATTTAGTGAGACCAAAATATATAAAACTACATAATATATTGCAGACATATATTATATATATATATATTATGTATACTGTATGCTTTCTATTACTGTTCTTCAAAAGACTCAAGTGTGGAAGACTTGGTTCCCAATGCAGCAGTACTCAGAGGAGTGGCTGGGGAAGTGACTGGACCATGGAGACAATGACCTCACCAACAGATTAATCCACTGATGGGCTCAAAATGTGATGGGCTACCAGGAGGTGACAGAAACGTGGCTGACCGAACTAGGGGTCTCTTCCTTGTCCCTGACACACACCCTCTCTCTCTTTCCTTTCCTCCACTTTGCCTCCCACTCACTTCCAGCCACCATGAGGTGAGCAGTTTTACCTAAGGATCTGACCTCTGCTGTCAATTATCCCTCACCATGGCCCAGAATCATGGAGACCGCTAACTGTAAACTATTACTTTAATTATGCAGAGGTGTGTTACCTTTATTTCTGCTGCATTTGTTTAATTATGTAAAGATGTATTGCTGTTTCACCTTGCCTGCCTAAAGCAACTGATTGGTCTAATAAAAAACTGAATGGCCAATAGCTAGGCAGTAGAGAGATAAGCAGAGCTGGCCAGCAAAAAGAAGTAAGAGGAATCTAGTCCAAGGAGAAGAGATAAAAGACAAAGAGAGGGAGACGCCCGGGGCCGGCCGGCCAGCCAGGCAGCCGCCAGCCAGCCAGATACAGAATAGGACACACAGAATAAAAGAAAGGTAAAAAGCCCCAAGTGGCAAAATGTAGATGGAGAGAAACAGTTTCAGTTCAAAGAGCTAGTGGGACAAGTCTAAGCTAAGGCCAAGCATTCATAACTAATATCAAGTCTCTGTGTCATGATTTGGGAGATGGTTGGTGGCCCAAAGAAAACCTGTTACAACTAACCATGGCCTGAAATATAAAATCACCAGCAAAAAAAAAAAAAACTTCCCCACTTCAAGATGATTTGCTCATGTGTTTTGTCACAGCAGTGGAAAGCTTACTAATAAACACACTTAATTATTAATAGTAATACCAGAGTAAGCTGCTAAAACATGACGATTCTGAGGCAATTTCATAGCATAGAAATTTAAAAAAAGAATATGAGGAAAGCAATGCATTTGTGCCCAGGGAGAACAGGAGTCTGCTCTTCTACATATGACAGAGGTTTAGAGCGTCCCACTACAAAAGAGACGTATCTCATGATGTGATTTTAAAACATAAACACCTGAAAGCAAGACATATCCATCATCAATATTTTTAAATTAAAGATTTTAATTTAAAAAATCATCTACTATACCTCAGGACTTTTTCGGTTCTGTAAAATCTGCTTGTCAGTTTCTTTGTTAGCGAAGTACCTAGTGCAACCTCGGTTTAAGTACTAAGAAAAGAATTGATGATACAGTTAACATAGGATCCACAGGGAAAGAACATGACTGCATAGTAAATTCAAGTTCAGCTTAAGCTACATAATGAACCTCTGCCCTAAGCAAAGAAACAAACAAAAACTAGAGTCCTGAAGGTGAAATTTAGTGACCCAGGATTAACCCTAGTATCCACAAGGCGGTGGGATTAATCTCAAGAATTGCAAAAACATGAAAGATCTAGGAAAGAGACTACTTCTTCCAGTCTCTCTCTGTTGAGAGCCTCTTCCTTTTCTTGCCATCTACTGTTACTCTATGTAAGTTTTCTTTATATTCTTGAATTTTTGCCTGACTGCACCAAACGCTTCCATAAAATGTGTAAAAGAAATTTTAAATGTATAATAATGTTGAGCATTTTTAACTTTTTATTTTGCAAAATACATTTGTAGTTAATACAAATATGTTAAGCCAGTAAGTCTCTATAAATCGGTTTGGATAAAGTAATGACGAAAATAAAGGTCAACCATTTTGAAAGCATTTACACCAGTCTTTTGTGTTTACAACTTGATCAGTAAATTATAAGGACAGAGTAGAACAAAAAAAATTGATGACATTATCAAAACATCTTCAAACCATTTAATATATACATATATATATATGTATATATATATATATATATGGGATAAAGGTATGGTTGTTTATAACATGACAGGAATATCCAAAATGGCATATGTATGTCCCCTGCTTTCAATCTTGCCACCACTGAGACTGTCCTAGAAGAAATGAAATCCATCCTAGTGGTCCATTCACAAAGGCAGGAAAGCCTTTGGTTACTTTTGGTAGCTGCCCTTGCAGGATGCCCCTCACTGTACAGGGAAAGGCTGCAAATTCTGAGACTGAAATGCTATACTCCCAAGCCTCCAAGCAAAAGGAAACACTATATTAAAGCCATAATAGTCACTTTACTTTCTAGCCAGCTAAGTGTTGGCAAAATCTAGACATATATCATAATTCATGTGGCTTCTAGTAACTTGTATTTTTTAAAAAATAAAAAAATCCTCCTCTTTTTTGTGAAGATATGATAAGCAATTAACTTCACATTCCAATTAGTTTGAGAACCTATTAATTGGAGGTCAGAAGAGGAAGTCAAATCACCTCAGATTGGCATTACAGGTGGTTGTGAGCCATCATGTGGGTGCTGAGAACTGAACCCAGGTCTTCTGCAAGAGCAGCCATTGTTCCTAACTGTGGAGCCATCTCTCCAGCCCCACACCAGCATTCTTTCAAGCAATCAAGTCTTCCACTAGGATTTTCAAATCTCTAATTACCACAGCATTGTGGGTGGGGCAGGCATATATAGTTTCTTACTATGCAGCATAACAATCAGACAATTGTGTGCATTTTCCATCACGTTCTAAGTTGCCCAAGAACAGGATAATGCCTTATTTATCTTTTAATCCTGGCACAATGTCTACCACCCAATAAGCAAGCAATAAGCATTTATTGCTGAAATGAACAAAGGGGTATAATAATGCATTATTTATTAACATTGGCTCAGTGATCAAAGTTTCTACAGTCACACTAAAGATAATCTTAAGGCTAGCATTACAAAACCTTATAAATTTCCAATTGGGTTTAAATAAGGTTTTAAACATCTGTCCTTTTACCCACTGAATTACACACCTTCTCATAAGCTATTATACATACTGAGAATCACTTATATCATGTATTTTGAAAATGTGATTCAGATTTCAGAGTTGCTTACATTTCTGAGTATTTGCATAAAGTTTCATTTTCCAGCTGAGCATCACAAATTCAAAACTACAAAGACCTAGACTTCACAGTGTTTGAGATTTGGGGTTTTTGTATTAGAGACATTGAACCTCATGATAGACTTACAAAAAAATCTCAATAGAGATCTCATCAGCAAGACTATAATTCTAACACAATGTCTAGTTACATCTCAGGTATTAATGGTGTCGAGGAGGGATGGCTACCTTGGCCCCTTCTGGATAATAGATACCTAAGTTTGCAAATGTTTTAAAACAGCATCACACTTGTACATGATCTGCAAACACACAGCCTATCAAAACTTCTAACTACATGGAAATTATTTATAATCCTTAATACAATGTAAACACTCTGTGAAGCAATAATATTCTTTGCTATTTAATAAAAATAACAAGAAACTAATACATGCTCAGTATGGATGTATTCTTTCTCATCCCCAATATTTTCAATTCATGATTAATTAAGCCTGAGATATAAAATTTGCAGATTCAGAAAGCCCACAATACTTCATTTAATGTAAGTTATATACAAATACAACTAGGCATCAAAATACAGTGAGTTTTAGCACTGAGAGAGTAAACAATTTGCAAACCTCTTATAAAATTTATTTTCCTTCAACCTACCCGAAAATTATCTGGGGAACTCAAGTGAAGCTTCTCCCTAATGTCTTCTGAAGCCCCAGCGCACAACCTGTAAAAAATATGGTAATTCCGCTCCTCTTTGCCTTGAACGCAGATCCTAGACTTCTCTAGAAGATAATGAGAAACAAATCCTCCAACAACTGAACTCTAAAAGACAAAATAGAAAATACATTTTTGCATCTATTGGATTGAAATATAAACTTAATGTTAATTTCATCTTTTCAAATAATCATTTGCTTAGCAAAGAAGTTAAAATATTTATCAAATATTACAAAGAAATACCTAAATGTAAGCTCTGAGTATTTCTACAACTCATCCTTCATTTTAAACACTGTTATCCTGTCTCCACTCTGATCCCTTCCAGCTTTTGAGCCTCTGCAGAATGAGAACTGACTTTGTGGTTGGCCCAGTGTCCCTCAGCAGCCCACAGACAGTTGCTGAAGAGCTCTCAGATTGCCAACACACTCACCTCATGCTGAGAAGACGCTAACTGCTCTAATGTGATCGTTACAGACTACACAGATCAACAGATATACACATCACTATATATCATGCTGTGTCCCATGAACATGCACATTATTACATGTTATCAAAACAATGAAAGAATCAAGTATGAGAAAAAATTAACTACAACGTTATGATTGATAATGCACTCAACTCCAATATTTTAAACTGAAGAGAAATTCTGAAGTCACTGCAAATTCACACAAACACACACAATGATAATAATAATAATAATCTTAGAAAGAAAAGTACTAATTCCAATTCTAATAAGACCCTTACAGTTACCACAAACACATCCCAAAAGCAACTTTCATTTACCTTTTCATTGAAGTGAATTTCCACAAATTTTCCAAATCGACTGCTATTATTGTTACGAACAGTCTTTGCATTTCCAAAGGCTTCTAAAAGTGGATTCGCTATTGAAAAAGAAATGAAAGTACTCCATCAAAAACTCACGAGAAAAGCATGAAGAAAAAATTTAAAGCAATATACATATTATGTTTCCATAGAGGAAAATTTGTGGAAAGTGATGGAATAAATGCTTTTAGAAATATTAGTATGGGAGAATTATCAAATAATGTCAAATTCCACAAGTGTGAAATGTTTACCCACTGTCATGGTTTTACTTTTGATTGACAAATGGACAGGATCTATAGTCATCTATAAAACTAGCCTCCAGCACAGAGAAAGACAATAGGCTAATAGATCAGCATGAAAGTAATATCTAAGCAAAGATTTATAGAGATGGAAACTCGTCCATCTCTGGGAGAAAAGCATTGTAGATCACAGATAAGATTCTTCTGAGTTACCTTCAGAGGTACCCAACATTAAAAAATAAAAATCAACAGTACCTTCAACAATTCTATCATCAATATCTTGACCAGTTCCATAAGATTCTGTCAAGTATCTGTTTAAAATACAGAATTTTAAAATTTTGAATAATATTCAGTACAATATATCTATAAATTTACTGTTTTATATATATGTCAAACTGAAACATGGATCATCATTGTAACTGTTTAGCATTGTTTTTAAACTTTTATTATATTTTTATTTATGTTTCTGTATGTATCTTGTGTGGGTATGTGCAGGTCATGGAATTGTATTTTTAAGCTGTTTGGAAATATTCTGATTTTTAACAAATCTTCAACTAGATTTATATAAGTATCTCAATTAACTATTTAACGTAATAACTATATACACCTCCATAACGAATAGAAACCTTCGTAAAGGACCCCACCATGAAAAAAACTAAGAACTGTAATAAGTTAGGAACAATACTGATAATAATTCAGAATGTGCTGGTCCTAGCAGTAGCTTCACCACTGGATTTAACTTCCTTCGATATGTGTGATGATTCGCATTGATCATCAACTCCATAGGACCTAGAATGGCCTAGAAGACAGGTATCAGCCACGTCTGTGAAGGACGTGGTTAGATAGCTGAGGTGGGAAGACCCATCCTGCGCATGAGTGACAGCATGCCACATACTGGGGTCCTAGATACTTGGAGAAGGTCTAACAGGCTAAGCACAGCACTCACTCATCCCTCTCTACCCCCTGACTGTGGCTTCAATGTGACCAGCTCCTGTCAGCACGCCTTCTCCATGGTGTGTTTGAACCTTGAACCATGAGTCAAGACGAATCCTTCCTCTCTTGATTCCTTCTTGTCTGATATTTTGTCACAGCAATGAGACAATTTATAGGATTTAAATTAAACAATGAAACTATAGTCGTGTAGCAATGCTCCTTCCACTTTAAAAAGGTTATGGTTGTACACCACATGTTGAGAGTTTAGTATGATGGTAGAAAGGGGATCTGATGATAGAGGGATAAGAGGAAGTCTAAATAAAAAGTAGTTTCAAAGATATTTCATAGCACCAACACTGAGAATACAATGGAGATCCATAGCCCAGCACCAGGCCAAGCTCTGGGAATCCAATCGAAGAGAGGGAGGAGGTTATATGAGCAAAAGGGATCAAGAACAAGACAGGGAAACCTACAGAGACAGCTGACTTAACTCCTGGGAGCTCACTGAGTTTAGACCAACAGCTGGAGCCTGCATGGAACTGAACCAAGCCCTCTGCCTGTGGGCGACAGTTGGGTAGTCTGGTCTGTTTGTGGGACCCCTGTCAGTGGGACCAGGATCTATCCCTGGTTCATGAGCTGGCTTTTTGGATGGGATGCCTTGCTCAACCTTGATGAAGGGGGGATGGTTTTTGTCCTACCTCAACTGAATGTGCCAGGCTTTGTTGACTCTTCATGGGAAGGGAGGCCTTACCCTTTTCTGAGGAGTGGATGTGGGGTAGGCTGGGGGTGGTAGGGAGGAGAGAGAGATGAGGGGAGGGAAGGGGAATTGTGGTTGGTATGTAAAATGAATAAAAATTTTAATTAAAGAAAGAGAATAGAATGTCCATTTGGATTTTAGAGAAACATTCCTGGGTTTGTCACTGCCTAGCAAGCACTAACTTCTTACAGAATCTCCCAAGAAACAACACATCAGAGACAGCTTTCTCTGAGACAGCAATCTCAGAGAGATTGACTTCCATATGTTTCTTTCTTCCAAACTATTCCATAAGGTATAAAACAGTATTAAAAATCAATCTGCTTAAATACACTGCCATTACCCACACACACACACACAAACACACACACACACACACACTCAAAACTGCACTATTCACAGTGGCCAAGTGACAGAAACAACCAAACTGCCTATCAATACATGTACAAGTACAGCAAATACAATAAATTCCTGCGATGAAATTTATTCAGCCCTAAAATTAAGGAAGGAAATTCTAATGCATACTATAACATAGGATACATATTATAACATGAGTGATTATATTTTTTAAGAGTCATGGTCTTACAAAGTTCTCTAGGCTCCTATACCCTTGAAATGAAAGTAATCTTCCTGCCTCAATCTCCTAAGAAGCTGAGTGTGTGTGAGTGTGTGTGTGTGTGTGTGTGCATTGTATGTATACACATATAGGCGCATGTCACTATAACCAGCTCAAACATGAGTGAATCACATATTGAACGAAATGAAGTAAGGAAGTCACTAAAAGATTAATACTATATGATGCCGCTTAAATAGGTACTCAGAGAAATCCAAACGGAAAGTAATATTTTATTTATGTACTATTTAATGAGTACCGCATCTGGAAGAGTAATGTTTTATTTATGTACTATTTAACGAGTACAGTTTTGGGTTTGTGAGATGAGGAATATAAACAACACAATGGCATGAATGTGAGGATGTGAGTGAGCTTAGCATTGCTGAACTTCAAAGTGGGCAGTCGACAAACTAATGGTAAAGTTTTCTTTTTACCATGAAAATAACGTCAGACTACTCAAAACATTTCAGATTAGCTAAATACTCACCTCAGAACAAACTTCGTATTTTCTGTTTTGCCTGCTCCCGATTCTCCAGACACAATGATAGACTGACTCATCTTGAGCACCTTCATGTCTCGAAAAGCCTTATCAGCTGGAGACAAAGTAATACAGTCACTGACAAGAGTTTACTATAAGGGCTTTTACTCCTATAGAAGTCATGAATGTGTGTTAAAAGTCATCCAAAGGTTTCTGTAAGTATTTACTTGCAATGTTCCTAACAGACAAGTAATAGGAAATCCAAACATCTCAAGATTGTGCTAGATTGTTAGACTGTCTCCACATTGACTTTGGCTCAGCTTGCCCAAATGCCAAAGCAGATCTGCCGAGGGACACAAAATGCTCAGTGTGCATAACTAACGAGGTCCCCATTGAAAAACAAGAAGGAATGAGTTTGCAATTAGAAATTTGGCAACTGAGTCCATTGTGAGAGAGAAAAACAACTGAAAAATAAATCTGAATTATTTCCACCTCCAACCACTTGCCTGTAAAATTTAGAGTTGCATTTTTACTAAAGCTGAGTGAGGGAACCCAAACGCACAAAGATAAACATCACATGTTTTCTCCCATCTTGAATCTTCAGATGTGTGTGTGTGTGTCGTTTGGAATAACCGCAGAAGTCAAGAAATATGCAGGGCCATCAGGAAGTGGGACTTTCAGGGGAGGTGAAATAGGATGCAGTAACATAAAGGGGATAATGGGACAAGAATGGTTAAATGGGGGTAGGAATGGGAAGACAGGATAAAAGAGCGACTAAGGAGAGGGGTGTGGAACGGAAGGGCAGGGTGAAGGAGGGAATGTGGGGAGAGAGAACTCACACTAAAGACTTCCTGAAAGCAGTCATGAACATCTACTACTGCAGAAGCTTCCTAAAATACAAACATATCCTCTAATGGAACAACAATGCTCCCACACTCAGAAAGATAAATATCTCACATTTTCTCTCTGTGACTTGAAAGCAGAGGGGAGACGAGCTTGTGAAGGGGAGGGGCCAGCAAGAAAGAACAGAGGGACAACAGAGGATAAACAAGAGGAATATATGAGAAAAACACATGATATAATTTCCTATGAAAATGTCATCATGAACTCATTTTTGCATAGCAAACATAAGCTTTAATAAATCATAAACAATATCTCACCACAAAAAAAATTTAAAAATTAGTTGCAAAGCAATTTGGCTCAAGAAGACAATTATTTTTCACTCCAACCATGTGCTATTCATTCAAACAAAAATAGCTTTATAAATGGCTTTTACTCTAAGAATAAGCTACGTATTGCATGTGTATTCCCAGCAGTCCACTGTGATGGAAGCATCTGCCTGCAAATTGATGTTGCTGGGAGACAGAGGAACCTTTGGGAAGGAGGACCCAGTAAGAGGCCCTTGGGTGACTGGATACACACTCTGAGAAGGTGGTTTCTCTCCTGACCCCTTGAGTTCTTACAAGAGGGTTGCTATAGCAAGCCTGGTACCTCTGATTGTATCCAGAAAACACCATGTCCTACAGTCATCCACCACCTCTGCTCTCATGGTCTCTCTGCCCCCTCTTCAACGATGATCTCTGAGCTTCTACGTCTGGTTGGAGATCAACTATGTGTTCCTGTGCCAAGAGGGGATACAGCCAAGAGGTGGTTCACACCACAGAGTCTGTGCCATGCTATGGATTATGATGCTCCCAGGCTGTGAGCTAAATAACCTGCTTCTTCATGAGAGATATTTCAGTAGTAACACAAGACTGACAAACAGCACCATAAGCAGCACACACATCCCACTGTCCAACCTACAAAGGCCTTCTTACAGTTCCCCTCATACTGCCATTCTAAACACCTTTAATAGTAAAGGCTAAAAAACAAAAGCTGGTTTATTTCCATTTTAAGTATATAACTTTTCTCCAGTGACAAGCTTCATTACATTCAGATTCTCATGACTGTACTGATAGGAGAACATTCCAGTGTTCACCAAGGCATCTGAGAACTGTAAGACAGTCGGGTGTAGCACTGCTTCTGAGCAGCATGTTTATCTGCCCATATACAATAACCAAATCTATAAGTGAAGTGTAGTTAAGTCAAAACACAAGCACAGGGGAAAGTCTAAGGAGAAACAGACTACACGACAAAGAGCACCAAAAGAAAATGTCCAGCTGCTGCTTATGTCTGACTACAAAGGCTTAGCCAACACATCCAAACTAGTCAGGTTACAAGTGGAATGTAAACTCTAATTCTGATCAATTGCTTCCCCTCTCTGTGCCTCCAAACCAGAATCTTCAGGATGAGAGGCTGAGAAAGTCAAGACAGACACTATTGTTTTTCCACTTAGGTTCCTCAGTCACCTGAAATACTGTAATTTTATAAGGCTATGGTGCAAGACAGCACACACCTTTAATTTCAGCACTTGGGAAGCAGAAGCAGGTGGATCTCTGAGTTCAAGGTCATCCTCGTCTACAGCCAGGAATACAGAGAAAAACATTAGTCTCAAAAAAGAACAAAAACAAAACAAAACAAAAAAACCTAGTTCCAGTCTGGCCCAGGTAACATATTTACAAGTGATGTCCAAGCTAAGAGAAGAGGAGGTCTTGTCTCTGAGCTGTAAACGAGACCATCTTTAAAATAGGGCTGATCATAGGAATAAAAAATACCATGGTGACACATGCTGGCAATTCCAGCATTCAGGAGGTAGAGACAGGAAGATCAGGCATTCAAAGCTAACCTGTTACATATTATGCTTTAAGTTAGCCAGCTCTCTTTCTCTCTCTCTCTCTCTCTCTCTCTCTCTCTCTCTCTCTCTCTCTCTCTCTCTCTCTCTGTCTCTCTCTCTCTCTCTCTCTGTCTCTCTCTCCCTCTCTCTCTCTCTCTCTCCAACCCAAAAAAGTACTATTAAGTCATCTTTTATTATGTCTACTTTCAGTGGAGCAAACTCAGAGGGCACAGGCATTTGATAAATAATGCATGATCTGCTCATGAGTTGACTACAAGAGTATTAGGTCCTCCCAGTATAGGATGCATGCTCCTAACAACACTAATACACCCAAAAGGCATACAGGTCTTGCAAAATATGTATTCAATGCATGGTATCGTTTATTAAATAATAAACTAACCAGGAGAACAGCATTTGCAACCTGACACCTGAAGGACTGGACAGGCATGTGACCAGTATCTGTGACCTGACCCATGAAGGATTACCCAGGGTGTGCCAGGAATCTGAGAGCCTGGGAAGAAACCCTGCCACCAACGCTAGGGAGACTACACTTAGACTCTGTCCCCACCCAGTTTTCTCCCCTTTACATTTGTCCTTTTTCTCTATTTGGCTGTCACTCCAGTAAGACAGCTCTGTTCTCTTATCTTTCCCATCTCTTTCCTTCTCCCTCTCTCCTCCCTTACTTTATCTATTCTTTCCCTTTTTGTTTTTCCTTTGATTGGCTTTCCCACAGACCACGTGATAGCCTAGTGTGTGATCTCCACATCTCAGCCACTTTGGACCTGGAACTCTTTTAGGTTATTTGATTGGTGTATTCCCCTTTCTCTTTTCGTTCTACCTGTAGCAAAAACTGCCTTACCCTGGAAGCATTTCTACTAAAATCAAGCCCAAGGCAAGAGTTTCCTCTTTTTCCACTCTTATCAACATAGTGCTTCAAGTCTTAGCTACAGAAATAACACAATAGAAGGAGATAAGAAACACAAATAGAAACATTAGTCAGTATATCCAAATTAACAGATGATATAACTAAACATGAAACCCCAGAGTAGGCAACAGAAAACTCCTAGCACTAATACACTCTTCCAGAAATGTGACAGGATACAAAATAAACATACAAAATCAGTAACTTTCTCATACACCAATAACAATCATGTTGAGAATAAATCAAGGAAGCAATTCCATCTATAATTGCCTCAAAAATTAAAATAAAATACCCTGGAAAACACCCAACTAAGGGAGTAAAAGACTACAATGAAAACTTTCAGTCCTTGAGAAGAAGAAATTGAAAAGGATACTAAAAAAGTGGAAAGATCTCTCATGCTCATGGATGGAAATAATCAATTATGAAAATGGCTATATTACTAAAAGGAATCTATTGATCTAATGCAATATCCATAAAATGTCATTCTTCACATAAGTAGAAAAAACTCTTAAAATTTGTATGGGAAGACAAAACATCCCAGATAGACAAAGCAATCTTTAAAAAGAAGAACAATAGTAGAAACCATCATATTTGATTTCAAGTTATATTACAGATCCATACTACTATTGATGATGATGATAATAATAATAATAATAAAGACGCATAGTACAGGCACGAAAATAGGCACATAGATCAACAAAATAGAATGCAGGACCCAGCTACAAACCACCTTATTTTTTTTTACAAAGGTACCAAAAATATACACTGGAGAAGAGACAGTCTCTCATTCACATGTAGAAGAATGAAGCTAAATCCATATTTCTCATTCCATTCAAAAATCAACTCTAAGTAAATGAAAAATCTTAGTGTGGGACCTGAAGCTCTGAAACTGTGAGAGGAAACAGTAGGTCAAATATAAGAGATGTGCATGGGCAAAGTCTTTCTGAGTGTGCCTGAAGAGGTACCAGTCACTGAGTAAATAACACCAACAACTGACAAATATGATCTCATGAAATGAATAAACTACATAGCAAAGGAAGTTTTAATTAGGTGAAGAGACAACCCACAGAGAGGGAGAAAATCTTTTCCAGCTAGATATATCTAACAAATAATTAGTATCTAGAATACACAAAGATTTCAACAGGGGGCAGCAGAAAGAACAGAGAGCCAGAAAAAGGGATGGGAGAAAATTGGAATGCTGACTGCCAGGCATGACATGGCTGTCCCAGTCCTGAACTCATATCAGTTGTGATTTTTTTCTTTCAAAGTTTAGTTTTAATAACAAACATTTATTACATCAGTCTTTCTTCAAAATAAAATGGATGTGCAGGAGCAATTTCAAACAGGAGGTGATTATCTGGACAGCACTGGGCCTGTTAAAAACACCCTGTCGTGGAGGGGAGAGGGCTCACAGAGCCCCATCTCTTCCTAAGGATTTATACATAGTTAATGATTGATGGGGAGGCAGAGGCATTTTCTCCAGTAATGTAGCCATGATAAGGTGCCCACACTCCTGTAAACAAAACTAATTAAAACCTATTGGGTCACACACACAAAAGATGAAATTAGAAAGGGTGAGGTTAGAACAGGAAGAGGGTTAGTGGGTGTGGTAACAGGGTGAATATCATCAAAATACATTATGCAGATATGTGAAATGTCATAATGAAGAATTATGCATGATTAATATATGCAAATAAAAAGGAAACCCTTATATACTGCTGGTGGGGATGTCAGCTAGTACAACCTCTATAGAAAATCGCTATAACAGTTCCTTAAAAATGAAAAAATAAACAAATAAACCAATAAAGCTGTTACCATAGCTCAGTAAAATACGTGCCATGCAAGCCCAGCAACCTGAGTTTAATGGACACATGAAGGTGAAAAAAGAGAAATGAATTGACCCCCACACATGACCTACCCCAAGTTGTCTTCTGACCCCCACACATGACCTACCCCAAGTTGTCCTCTGACCTCCACACAAGCATCTTGCCATATGCAATCTCTCTGTCTCTCTGTCTCTGTCTCTGTCTCTCTCTCTCTCACACACACACACACATATATGAAATTTTTTAAAAATTAAAAACAACAACAGATTTACAAATCCTAGGTATTTACCCAAGGGACTCCAAGTCAAGATATCACAGAGGTACCTGCAAACCAGTGTTTGCCACAGCACAATTCACAATACCTAAGTTCTAGAACCAACTGAGGTGTCCAACAACATTGGAATAGATAAGAAAAATGTGCTATGGAAAAATTTTTAGCTATAAAGAAAAACAAAATTGCATCATTTGCAGGAAAATAGACATAACTGAAGAACATCAAATTAAGCAAAACTGAGCCAGTCTTGTGTCTTCTCTCCTATACAGTTCCATTTTAGGTGGACACATAAAATCACATGTAAATATTATATCAAAGTAGAGGTGAAACTGTCTAGGGAACAAAGCGAACTAACAAGAAGAGGGTAAAGAAGGAGGAGAAGCATAAGGCTGTGAGGGAGGGTGCATATAGTCAACGAACAGTAAACAGTTGCATAAAAACATCCTTGTATAACACAGTACCATGGACAATGAATATATATCCTTGAAATCTTTTAAGGGACGCAAAACAATTTAAAAATCAAGTAAATTTATATGATATAAGAAAAGACAAGAATTAAAATATAATTTACCAATTGCAAAGACATGAGGTGGCATCGTCCCAAGAGATTTTCCTTGATATGACTTTATTGTATCTGAAGAATATATTTTAGGTATATCAAAGTATGGATTCACTGCAATCAGAATGTTGGCGACATATGTCTAAGGAAGAAAGGCAGAAAAAGAAAATTGTTACTTTCCTTCAAAACTAAACAAGGCAAACAGGAGAAATACTCAACAAACAGAAACCTCCAATTCTCATATAAACAAGACTTCAAAATCTACATTTCTAGCCCTTAAATTAAATATTTTCTGATTTTTCAGAGCCCATCATTTCTCAAATTTCAAAGAATACTTATTTCCAAAGTTACTTCAAAGTCAACACCTTCAAAAACCAAGATTATACCTTCCCACTTCCCTATGTCTCTCAAAACAAAAACCCTTCCCATAGTTCTGTCGGGTCATGGCTTCACCACACACTGACTCTACTTACTAGTGTCACCAAGCTGAGTCCTACAGTTCACTTCAGGACTTCAGGTCACTGGTATCCTCCGACTATTCACCCTGCTCTTGAAGCATTTAAATGTAGCTCCGTCTGAACCTTCCCTGTCAATGAATGCTCAGGAGTGACTTAGCTCTGAGGTGGCCACTTGGTCTTGGGAGTTCTGCAAGCCACCACATGCTAACCACTAGCTGTTTTGTGAGCAACTGGAACTTACCTTTAAATATGAAATTTAATTTTGTTTTTAAAGATTATGGAAATGGACCAATAGAATTTATAAAAATTCTACTTGGATAGACAGAGGTTGTAGTTCTGACAAAACTAGGACATATAAGCCATACTTTTCTTTTTTCTTTCCAACTGTAGAAGAGAAGTGCTATAAAAATCCTGAGCTCTCAAACTGCTAAATGCGCACAACGTCTCCAAAGACGTTCGCTAGAGGAGAGAGAACAGAAGGGCTGGAGAGGCGGCTCAGCACTGTCTGCTGGTACAACGGATCCAGGTTTGGCTCCCAGAAGCCCCTTCTGACCTCCAGAGACACTAGTCACACACATGCTGCACAGACATTCAGGCAAAACACACATACACATAAAATAAAAAGAAACAAATCCTTAAAATTGAGGACAAAAAGTAAAGGATCAGAGAGTTCAGCAAAGTGAAAATGTTAAATGAGGTTCCTCTATTGTCTTACTCAAATCTAAGTACAAAATGTCAAGCTTAAATTGTTACTCTAAATGGCTTCCTTCCCATAATTGTGCATCTACATAAATAGAAATTAACACATTTATTTAGATTTTTATGATAATAACAGATGCATTTATGGATTGCCCACCTTTGATGAGTTTATTACTAAAAGGCCTAACTGGCTAAGAGAGAAAGAAGATTCCACTTCTGACTTAAGGCAACCTTGACAACACTAGTTCTTAAGATCTACTCAGAAGAGGTAACCTCCCAGCTATATCCCAGTTAATTTTCACTGACTTATTAGAAGTTAAACCATTTCAACTGACTTTAAAACTTAGTTGCTTCGGTATCTAAAACATTAAGAGTCTGTTCAACAGCAAGTTATAGATTGAATCAACTTTGCCTCTAAAAATATTTCTACCCAAGAATATCCATAAATATAGTCTTCACTCAGCTGAATTTGTGGAGTAAAACAGAGAAAATAGGAATCCTAACCCAACCACAACCAGAGGACAAGTAGATTCTTTGGGGATAGACTACATTAGCTCTATTTCCCAGCTGTCACTACTTGGACAGATGGCAAAGACTAAATGTAATTTAGTCAGAATTAAGTAAGTACAATTAGGCAAATTGATAGTGATATAAAAAATTAAGACTGTCATTTGATCTTGTAAATGTCAAAGAAGCCATGTGCATCCTTCGTTCAAAAATAATGAAGCCTCATCTTTCTAACAGGATACCAGAGTGTGGTAATCTATCTCCAGCCAATGAAAGAATCAATGACCAGGTCAGAGCAGAATAAAATCTCATGTGTGCCCAATGAATAATTATAATTAAAAAACAGTAGCTAAATATTCATCTGAGTGATCTGACACAAACAACTTACACCAAAGCCATTGTCTTTCTTTGTGTTTAATGATCTAGACTTCTAACGACCAGAATCTAAGGACTAAGAAATCCCACAGTTATTTAGGTTCCATGATCAGCATTCTTGTCCATGTGATACTTCTTCAGCTATTGCCTTCTATTCTACTTATTTTTCCTCATTTAGTTTTTTTAACTTCAACACACATAGGTTGCCTTACATTCTCTGCATTATGAAAAGTGAAACTAAGCAGATCTGTACCCATATATCAAAAATAGTTTTATATTTTGTCTTCTCCCCTTCCCCAGAGCTGAGGGTCCACCCCAGGGCCTTGCACTTGCTAGGCAAGTGCTCTACCACTGAGGTAAATACCTAACCCCAAGGTAGTTTTTTAAACACTCAAATTGGACCTGTGTAAGCCTGAAGTAGGTTAATTGGTTCTCTGGATTCATTTTCTCATTCTGCAGGTTTTATTAAACATCCACTATGTACCAGGCTCGTGGAGAGCAAGAATTGGAACCCTCATGTACATCACACTCAGACCAAGCAGGGCAAAGGTAAGTGAGCCAATTACCCACAAAAACGACAGTTATTGATAAAATACTTACATAGATTCTGTCTTTACTGTACCGAACTTTGACATTATGGAGGAGTGTGGCTTCATTTAAGTACATCAGTGAACCTATGACAAAATTTTAGATTAGAGAGTTGAAAAAGAGGTAAAGTGAAATTCATTATACATAATCACACTGGTCCCAGTTTAAATTCATGTGTGAGGGTAGATTTAATCTCTTGTTTTTAGAAGACAGGAAAACATAGACCTCGTGGGCTAGTGTAAAACAGATCCATCTGGGATACATTGCATTGGTAGAACACTTGCCTAAAATAAATCTTGTTTACTTACATCTGGGAGAACTTCAGATGACACATTTCCAGCTAGAGGAGTTACATATAGACAGTACCAGTGATGTGTTCTGCTGAGGGCAGGCTTAAACGCAGACTATCAATCAAATGGAAAGAACTATTGTAGACATTTATGACCCTACAAAGTAGATACTAAGCCAGTCCAATGCTCAGACGCTTACAGATAAGACAAAAAAAGATATAGTTTTAGATGGTAAGGGACAATCAGGCCATTTGGACTGTTCTCACAATGACTGATGAAGGGAGAGTCGTGCACATCTTAACCCAATGTATTTACAGAATCAGAGTGACTCCCTTGTTTTTCTGTTCTGTTCCAGTGATCTGTCCCAAGTTCTTCCCCATTTAGTTCCTACACACTCCCGTCTCCTATGCTTCGTTTGCACTACATACTGGAGCAGACAGTACACTCCTCCTACCTACTTTGCTTGCTGTTGGGACCATAATTTTATCAATTATCCAAACTGAAAACAGTAAGTCAGCATCTTGTCCTCCTATTTTGAAGTCAGTTCCCAATCTTCACATCACATAAAAAAAAAAATATAGCCCTTTGTCAGGCTCATGGAAATATAAAGTGTTAACACAATCTGAATTCCTAGCATGCCCCTCCCTCCTTTTCTACAGCTCCATTGCTATGTAGGATTGCTGTGCAGGCCGCACTACCTCTTTTGTGGTTCAAGTGACCTCTATTTATCTACTACTTTAATCTCTGTTCTCTCCAGTCCAGACTGAAGAGTGGGTTAAGTAAACTAGAGCACTAACTAAATCTCTCTCCAACTCAAAGAATATTGCTGGGGCTCAACTACAAACATTCACCTTAAAATCTATCCAAGGCTGTTAATAAACATGCATTCGAGTGGTTATTGTTATGATTTTCTCTAACCTCTTTTAATACCTAACTTGGATACAAACAGCTATTTATCAAACCCACTGTCTATTTATACACTGTCTCTGCCTACAACATCCTCTCCATCTATAGATATATATATATTAATATGTATAACTATATATACTTTAAAACCTTTTCTCAAAATGCTGCTTTGAGAGACACACAGGCCTATCTCAAAATGATACTTCTCCAACCTCTCTCCTTCCAGAGCTAGTCTCTTCTTTGCAATTTCTCCTGCTCCTTTCCACATCTGTCAGGATGAGGATGGTAATTTTATACATCTGGTTTTAGTTACTAACCCAAATACTTAAGGGCAAGGTGCTGCAGAGTTCACTTGTTTTACATGGTCGCTCACTGAAGACATAGTACATCTTCAGTACCTGCATTCCCAGTATACAAGTCAACAATGCCTACAAGAGCCTCTTGCTAGATTATCTTGGCAAAGGCCATGTATCTGCCTTGAGACAATGCAGTCAGTTCACTTTTCAAGGGCCCCATTGCTTTCTGATGCCACTGAAAGTAAAGTAAGAGAGTACTAAGCATGTTGGGGCTCCTAACATTTGAGTCATAGATTTCCCTTGAAGTGGAGAGAGATTTGGAAGGACTCGGGCAGCAGAGGTGCCTCTGGTTTGGGTATCTAATCACCTTCACTCTCTATCCCTACTTTTCTTCCACCTCATCCCCTAGAAGCCCGATCTACACATTGCTGTTTCTTTATTCAAAACGCTCTGCTGAGCCTCTCCCCACATCTCGCTTTCCTCTGAGACACCTGCTTATGCGCTAGCATAGCTCCCCCCAAGTGAGAACTGCTGACAGCACTGCACACGCACCCTTTAAAGTCAGCCGTGTATCGACCATGTAACCCTATACTGACATGCGGATGGCTACCAAGTCTTCTCTTCACCCCATTCCTTACTCCCCACCTGCCTTCTCGAGGATATCTGTTCATTCAACCAAATAAACCCCAACAGAAGCAGTATCTGTCGGTGGCAGGAGGACATCCAGTCACACTGATCAGGCTATTCCATCTTCACGGAGGAAGTCTGCTGTTTGTCAGAGTGGGAAATGCTAAGTTTCACCCACCTCCCTAGTGATATGATCCAGGAATGTTCACAGGGGTCCCGGAAACAACATCCTGCCCCACCTAGTTCCATCCCACCCTCCTCTGGTAGCCAGCTCTGGGGTTACTTGGTTTGGCTATTTACACACACTACTCTATATGAACTGCTTACTTTTTAACGTCTAAGTATTTATAGATTTAACTATAGCTAAAAGAGCAATATTTTTTTTGAGACAGTGTGTCACTATGCACCTCTGGCTGGCCTGAAACTCATTATCGAGACAAGGCTGGCCTTGAACTCAGAGAGATCTGCCTGCTCCACTTCCAAAGAGCTATGATAAAAGGTGAGCATCACTGCACCTTGAAGAATACTATTTTTATTTTTCAGTGCATGCACACATGCATGCATGATGGAAGATGCATGGTATGACACTGAGTGGATCAGAGGACAGCTCTGTGGAAGTGGTTCTCAGCATCCACCTTTACATGGACCAGGGAAATGGAAGTCATGATTCAAGCACCTTTACCAACTGAGCCATGTCACTGCAAAAGCTCCAAGTCTATCTTTTTCCTTTCTGGGAGTGTTGGGGATTGAACCAGGGCCTCGTGCATGCCAGTCAAGAGACCTTTAAAAGTAAGGCATTATAGACATATAAACACAATTTATTCCCTTGGACACACCTTGGTGATATATACCATACCAAAAATGTTTAATGAAGAACACCTGTGACTTCATTAAATTTATACTAATGACCAGAGATTATCTGAATATTTCAGATCCTATTTACTGACTACAGCTCTAGTTCAGTGACAGAGAGGGAAAAGGAGAAAACACAAATGATTTCAACATCATGAAAGCCAATCAATGATACATATGTTACTGAAGAAGTCATCTCATCACTGAAACTGAAGGGGTAACTTCTAAGATTCTTTCTGATTTTACACTCTATTTATCTCAACATCTGGCAGGTGAATATAATGTTCATGAGGAATGTTATAGGCAATGTAAGTAATAGTACCTTAAATTCAGCATGAAACTGTGCTATTGTTTTCTATTTAACTTCTGGATTTACCATGAATTATTTTTCTATTCTGTTACCAATGCCAAGAATCAAGTAAAGATGGAAAACTAATATATTAATCTCTACATATAAAACATCCACACATGAAACTTAAAGTTAAAAGTAGGAATTGAGTTTGTTTTAAAATATAACAATACCTCTGGGTATTGACTTGGTTGGTTGGTTGGTTGGTTGGTTGGTTGGTTAGTTTTGAGGCAGGGTCCTGCTACCCAGCTTGTGAATTCGGGTCCCTCCTACCTCAACCTCCTAAGTGCTTGGACTACAAGTGTGCACCACCACGACCATCCCTATACCTTTGCCTCTGGCTAACCTTTAGCACACAGCTCATGACACACTACAGGTATCGGGTATTTAACCACTGCATTTTCACTATGATCTAGTGAACACAGGGATGATCTGAAACATAAGGCAAACCGCAATTGGAAAGGCTGGTGTGATAATGACAAGTCTTAGACCAAACACTAGGTGAAGGAACAACTTCAGCAAAGAAAAACACCTATATTATAAAGTCAGCCACCGAAACTGCTTAAATGACAGGGCTTCGGAGGAGGGACTTCAAGCCAGGACAGGCTATTGCACGATGAGAGCAGCCAGCTTCCACCAGGTGCCATTGCTATCACTCTCGATCATCAGTGAGAGCATTGGGAAGGGGAAGCAAACCCTACTGGGGCCAGGGAAGGTCAGCAGTGGTGAAGCATAGCACAGCAAAGGAAATAGGAGAGTTGGAAAACACTAATTCAAAAAATAACAAATGGAAAAGTCAAATCTATTACATTTAGCTACAGGTGAATGTGTCTCTTAAGAAAAACAAGTTAACATATGAAGAGGATCAGTTGTTACATTATATACCCTAGCAAATTTTTGTTACATTTGTATATGTTTCGGGGAGTGGCAATGCAAGGTATAATATGTGGGAATCAGTTTTCTTCTTCTACCATGCAGCTCCTAGAGATCAAATCCAGGTCCTCAGGTGTGTGGCAAGTGCCAGTACCCACTAAGCCATCTCACTGGCCTCCCTAGAAAACTTTAACAGAAAGGTACTTCTTGTTATTTTCAACCTGATTTAGTTTCCTTTCTGGTCTGCTTTGAATATTTCTCAAAACTGCATTGTTTTGCCAGACAAACTCTCTAGCAAGGTGAGAAAGGAAGAAAAATGATGTCTTTACTCCTAATAATAACAGCTGTGGTTTATTCGGTCTGCGGAAGTTAGATACTCTGCTAAATGTCTTGAGTGTATCCCCCTCTAAGCATGCAACACAGATAACTACTCCTGCTTTGCAGATGAAATTCCCAAAAGAGGAGCAATGTGGCCTGCAGGCACATAAGCTTCCAAACTGAAGTCAGGATCAGAAGCCTTGACTGCCTCACCCTCGGCTCCCAGAGCCCCCAGCACTATTTCACAACACCTGTAGTTACATACGGGGTCTCTCAGGCTTACTCAATTGTAAACCCCAGTGAAAACCAGTAATAACAAAGCTCGTCTTCTTTCTGGAGAGTATTTAAGGTCAGATACTTCTAAGGAAATCCATGGTAACTAGAAATGATCCTCAAATACCACGCCTACCTCACTACAGTTTGGATCTAGAATATTCTTTGGTAAAGCCTGCAGCTTCACTTGGAGCAGTTGGGAGTCAATGGGCAGGGCTGTCACTGGGGTGTGCCAAAAAGAGACGATGGGGACATGAGATTTTCTTTGCTTCCTGGCTTTAGTGAAATAAGCGATTCCCCCTACTGCATGTTCCTTCCATAATGTACTGTACTTCACCAAAGGCACAAGTGGAGGGGTCAATTTACCATAGATAGAAATCTCCCAATCTACAAAGCCAAACAAAGCTTCCCCCCTCTGCAAATTAACTCAGATATTTTTGTTATAGTGATGAAGACCCACACAATGAATAAAGAATTTTTCACCAAGTATTTTAAGATATCTATAATTCAAATTAATACTGGTTTAATATAATGCTCTTAAATAAACTTTTCAATTATAAATTATTCAGCAGTGTTGTTTGTTTTGTTTAACATTGGTTTGCCATATCCAGACAGTGATATTAATTGACTCTGGATGTCAACTTCCAAATTACTATGAACTTTGGAATGACTTTAGAGACAGCTAAGAAGAGACTTTAGTTGAAATTTCACACTAAATTATCACCCTTCCCACACACAACTGAAATGACAGCAGGAGACACTCAAGAGAATTTCACAGAAGAGCACATGGGATACAGGAATAAACCTAGGCCTCCCAAGCTCCAGGGAGATCTTATCAAGCCTGTGTGCTCTGACCTAGTCTCCTGTACAAGTAAAATAACCAGAAACTTACTTTCTAGAAGCAGAAACTCCATGGGATGGAGAAATAACTTTGAAATTAATACTTACAGTTATCTTCCACATCTTTTTTACTGTCCTCCTCTGCAGGGAATACTTGGTTTATGAGAGCCAAAAATGTCTAGCAAACAACAAACAAACAAAAAGGTTTGAGCATTTGAGGCTTTTAGATAGTAAAAAAGATAAGGAGTTCAGCTAATTGAATATATTGCAATGAGGTAACAATATGTTAGAGTATAACACAGATTCTACTACTTAACAAAGCACTCGTTCAAAAGTCAATAATTTTCATCCAAAACTATGTCCACTACTACTGTAGACATGAATCAACAACAGCAATTAAAAATAAGTACCCCAGGTTTTCACACCCACAGTGAGACAAAATAACAAACACACTAATCCTAACAAAGTAATAAACACGCCAATCCTAAATTTCTACTTAGAAACATGCTAGTTACCAAAAACTAAAAGCACTTTAATGTTTGCATATAAACAATTTTATTGTTTTAAAGGCAGGAACATTCATAATCACATAAAGCATAAGCAAACTATTAATGTTATTTGTGAAACATTATTTGACATCAATTCCTACATAAAAATGTGTCAAAAATACAAAATTATCCAGTCCGTATAATTAAAAGTACCCACAAATAGCTGGGTGTGGTGGTACATGCCTGCAGTCCCAGCACTTGGAGATACAAGCAGGGGGATTAGGAATTCAAGGTCATGCTTGACTATATAATGAGTCATGGCCAGTCAAAGCCACATAAGACCCTGTCTCAACATAAAATTAACCCATAAACAAATTTGCATGCATTCATCACTTAAAATGCTATGAGAGACACTGCAGAATTAAGATAGCATCTTGTAACAGAGAACAAATGATCTCAAATTACATCTAAAGAGAATTAAATTTTAATTCATGCTATCTCAACAGTTATTTATAAATTTATACCTCTAAATAATTACAATTAACTCTTCTGGGTGACAATTCCAACTGTATCAAATTAAACTCTTAAGAAAAACAGTTTGGTTCTTTTACAATAATATTGGGGGGCTGGAGGTTTAGCTCAGTGGTAGAGTTTATGCTCAGCATAAATAGCCTTGGTCTGATCTCCAGTACCAAAATAAAAAAAAACAATTTGTAACACTATGTGTGCAAGAATACTGTATATAATAAGGTGGTCATAGTTTATGAAGTAAAATCCAGACTTCAAAGAGGATTCCAATTTAAAGTTGTAACAAATTTAGTGGTGTGGGGGCATCTCAGTGGTAAAACTCTTGTATAAAATACATGATGCCCTGAATGCACTCTCTAATACCCACTAACACAAAAGAACAGCAACAACGCCATACCCAATTTACACCTGTTAAACGCAACTCTCTGAAAGTTAATTCTTTGCAATCTAATACATATGTTTTCTTATAAATGTGGAAGGTTTGGAGGAGAGGCCACTCTTTCAAACATGAACCAGACAGTGAACATTATGTAGAAGAAGATAGCATAAAACAATCAATTCATTGCAATGATTCTGTAGGAAAATCCATTCTGCAATAGCTGCTAATACCACAGAACAGTGTATACACTTGTCACAGCCTAGTAACAGAGAGGTTGGTGTTGACTGGCAGGAGCTATAGCCAATGAAAAAGACTCCAGATGAGGAATGAATGCTCCGGAGGAGGGGCAACCGACTTCCTTAAATGATAAGGTTAACAGCAAGCTGAGTCCAGAAGTCTCCCTCTTCCTTCAGGCCCCAAATTAACAACCAGCCTCTATTGTCTCTCCCCCCAGGAAACAAATGAATGAATGTGTGAGGGTGTGGGATCCCTTGGAACTGGAGTTTGCAGACAGTTGTGAGCTGCCATGTAGGTGTCTGGAAGAGCAGCCAATACTCTAAATCGCTGAGCCACCTCTCCAGTCCCCTCATTTTTTGTTTTTTGGGATTTTTTAAAAATTATTTTCATCAAAACATTTTTGCTTTTCTGTTAGGGAAGTTTTTCCATTATAAAAAGAAAACCAGGGCCCAGTAAGATGGCCCAGTAGATAAAGGCACCTGCCATTAAGCTTAGGGACCTGAGCCTATTCTCCTAGGACCCATGTAATGAAGAAAGAGACCCTCTCCCTCAGGTTGTCCTCTGATTTCTACTCAAAAGAACTTTGTACAACATAAATACACACACACACACACAAATAATAAAAATAATTTTTGTAAAGGTAATAGCTTAGGCCTCCAAAATATTTTTAGACTTTAGTTTATAGTATAGGATTGAATTTGTAGATCCATAAAAATTTATGTGACTCCCTAATTTAAACTATGCTTTCAGGTTGGTGAGATGGCCCAGCCATGAAACCTGAGATCTCCAGTTCAATCCCTGGGACCCACAGGGTGGAAGAAGAGAACCAATTCTTTCAAGTTAGCCTCTGGGTATACATGCACAAATTCACACAAACACACACGCAACAAGTAAACAAATGCACCAAAAATAATTGAATTAAACTGCACTTCTACTGGTTCTATATATGTACCTCATTAACACTAATATGACATAATTCAAATACATTGAAATATGTAAAATATATTGCAAAAGCACATCCCCTTAAATCAAGTTTCTTTTGTTCTTGAACTGAATTATTCTGTCACCTACAAATGTGACAGGCCTCAACAGAACAGACTCGGGAAGGACTCCCCTCACTTCATTCTGGTCTTTTAGCTCACTGTGCTCATAAAACATGTTAAGCAAAAGGCAAAAGCTTTCAAAATTTATTGTGTGTGAACTTTTAAAAGCACACTTTTTAAGTAGGCAGTGTGCGGTAAGTACACAAGGTACCGCTAATGAGGGAAAATGAGAACACTTTATCTTTCCTTTCCTGAAGGCATCTTTAATTGGCCTCCACCAGCATGGCACAATATATATTATGCGTTCTGGTTCCTGGGTTGTTTACAGCAACAGAACAGTCTTCTCTCATGAGAGATCCACCTTATTTTTCTAAGGTTCCCAGAAGGATGGCAGTCATGTGGCAGTAGTGAACCACATATCTGTAGAATGTAAATTGTTCATGGATATTTGCAGAGCCTGAAGTAAACAGAAATTACATACACATATTTGGTAAGAAGAAATGTTTAATAGTATTATTTGTTAGACTTAAAATAGGAGGCTGTGGTATCAAAAAATACCCAATCTCTCAAAGACTGAAGGATACACGTCTACACTGTAGGCTCTGGCTGTACGCAACTCTTGGTCACTCTCCCCAACTTCCACTTAGGAATCCTGACTAGTCTATGTCTAAGAGTTTATAAAAGGAAATAAATAATGTATGAACAGAAGTAAAGTATGGTTTATACTATTACCATAAAAATAACAATATGTGGGGTGCTTAAGAGTCAAATATCTTTAATAAAAAGATATTTGTCCAAATTCTACTCTATATAAGTTTAAGTTGAAAATAAACCAAAAAAATAAAAAGATGCAAAAGCTGAAGCCCCCAAGCAGAATTTGACATCACAGCAGCAGTCACATTATCATGTTTACTCTGTAACACATTGACTACATTATACATTACATCCATGCCAGTTATTCTAGTAGTGTGGCATATGGGATAAAAATGCTGCCACTGACTGTATTTTATCACACCACTAAGAATGTTAGGTTTCTGATTATCATAGGATCCTATTTTCTCATAGTACACACTTCCCATTTAATCAAGGAAGTCAATCCCAAACTTAAGTTACATTGTCAGACATTGGTTTTCACCATGATGGCGGGAATGTCTACTTCGTTTTCACCTTTCTTCGGGGAGGGGCAGGATACTTGTGGCTGTAAGTGAAAGAGGTCACATTTTGAGATCTCTCTGAGAAACTCACCTTGCCTTTTTGGTTCAAGGGTTCAATTGTTAGGCTGTCAGGGCCAATGTCCACAATATTGCCCATCTGAAATCCATCTGTGGGGTGGGGAGCCCAAACGGGCTTTCCATCTTCCATTTTGCAGAAGGTTATCCACTATCTCCTGTTCAAAGGAACGAGTAAAGCAACATGAATAACTGTGGAGATGCTCTTAAAATGTGTCTCCTTTACACATGCATATGCAAATCTCAAGTCATAAAAACACCTGCTACCTCTCCCCCATCCTGCTACCTCCATCTCCCCCATCCTGCTACCTCTACCCCCCATCCTGCTACCCCTCCTCACCCCATCTTCTACCTCTTGCCCTCTGTCCACCTTAGATAAGGAAGGCAGAGGCTGCTCCACCCTCAAGGAAGTCCTGTAATCTCTCTCCTTCAGTCCTGAATTTACCGGAGAACAGTTCAGGAATGGAAGTGCTCATACTTTGTACCTGTCATCTGAAGGTAATTTAGAATACTACCTCCAGGAATCTGAGTTGCTCAATAGTCTTATAGGAATAGATATTTAGGTACAAAGTCAACAGGGTGTAAAAAGAACTCATTCTGGACCTGGAAGGATGCAGGGAATCAGCTTCCTGGGGGTTCCCTGGGTCTGAGACAGCAGGCACGTACTCCCCAGGCTCATTTCCACACAATTGCTCAGCATATGTTTTCGTTTTCTTACTTTGCTGCTTATTTGAAACTCACAGTCAAGTGAACAAATCTGAGTACGTAAGCTAATGTGCTTGGACAGATGAATGCGCTGTTGAAGAAGCATCCTCCTCGGTTCACATAGCATCTCTGTCTCCCTCCGGTTCCCACGCCTCCCTTCACTCAGGCATCATCTCCGATATCCTCGGGTTTTGCCTGTTCTTGAACTTCATATAAATGAGATATGCGTTCTTTTGGGTCTGGCTTCTTTCATCTAAAAAGCATTCCTATATTCAGCACAGTCAACCGTACTGCTGCGTGGGTCTACTGAACAATGCCCTGTTTACCTGTTATCTTGCATTTGAATGGTTTCCAGCCAGGCCCACTGAAGACATCCCACTTTAACGGTTCTTATGAGGCTTTCACTCTTGGCATTTTGAGACATTAACATTTATAATTCTGTCTACTGCGTAACCCAAAGGGCACACGCTATCCAAACTGCTTTGTTTTAAGGGGCTTCTGTGTTATAGGACTAATGTCTGATTCAATCTGCCAACAGGTTGAACCTAGATGTTCTGCTTTCAGTATCTCAGTGGGAACCGAACTCTTTCACTATTCACCTACACTTAAAGAGCGGATGATTTGTGTAGCATGGTGTTTGTTTTGTGAGCCTGGGAGCTCCATTGAAGATCCCATGTGGACTCTGAGATGTAGTCCCTCACAAGAGTCACACAGAGACACATAGTCCAGTTAAAAACTGCTCGGGTGTTGACAACTTGCAGCGTGCTTGGCAGTTAATCTTTCCTATGCATTGGCTGCAGAATGAGCTACCTTCTCTATGTAGGAAGAGCTATTACATTTACATGCAATTCTAAGTTAACAAATGGGAAAAAAAAAGATTCTCCAGAAATGATAAATCAGTAACTGCTTTAGGCTTCTACTGACATATTTGTATGTCTGCTTTCCCTAGATAATTGGAGCCACTCCCATGCTTCATAAACCATCTGGATGTGAGTGATACTCAAACTTCTCTCATCATCCCAGCTCCCTGTGGAATTCCCAGATGTCCACCTGCTGACCGGAACCCAACACAACTAACAGATACCTCATCATCTAAATTATTCTAGTCAGCAGCCCGCCTTGCTCTTCCCTGCATTAGTAAAGGCAGCATCACTTATTCTAAATAACACCCAAAGTCATTCTCAATCCTTCCAGCTCCATCCAAATCCCCATCACCCCTTAACTTTATCAACTCTCCCTGCCAGACACCCATACCCAGCCACTCTCCTGCATCTCCTCTGCTGAGTCCAAACTAAAACTGACTGCCTTTACCAAGCTTTCCACAATGTACTTATATTCCTACTTCTGCTCTCGCCAATCCTCAGATCAGGATTCATCCTGCTAAAACGTATATCTCATTGTGCCACTGTAAATCAATCAGGGCACAGACCATTTATTTACTGCTTGCTCCTAAGGCTTAGCACCAGACACAAACTTGACAGTCACTGGTGCATGAATGAATTGCTCACAGCATCTGGGAGAGTAAACAGAGATGACAGACTAGAAAGAGTTGAATTCTCCTAAAACAGAGGCTTGAAACTCTGCTCCTTCACTGACGGCTCCATGCAAGTTGCCTCCCTGATCTTGTCTTCATCCTTATCTCAGAGGTGGGATAGGGATGGTGTCACTTACCTTACAGAATTGCCGTGGGGATTAAGTGACACAAAACTGAGATCAACACTGCAGTAGACCCTAGTCACACCTCCACCACCGCCAACAACACCCTGCCACATCCTTTCAATGGAAGCACTAATAATTTGAAGGCAGTATTTTATACACAACGAGAAATGGACAGTAGTGAACAGTTAGGAATAATTATCCTTCTAAAAATTCTAAAAAATATCAAAATCACACAGCAAAGCACAACCCTCCAAATCCAAAAAAGAAACGGCAAATTGAACTATTCAAATGGCTTTCTCAATTTAAAGCATGTACTGCAGCTTTTCAATGCAAAGTTAACATATCTAATCTTGCTTCTTCATCACAGCCCTAAATCTGCAGTGAAGTGATTTTCAGGAAGTCTAACAGGTGCTGGTGAGGCGGCTCAGTGAGTAAAGATGCTTGCTACCAACGATGGCAATCAGAGTTCAACTCCCAGAACCCACACTGTGGAAGAAGATGAGACCTGAGTTCTGAAACTTGTCCTCTGACCTCCACATGCAGGCCATGCACATATATGTACACACACACACACACACACACACACACACACACACACTCGTGCACACACAGCAAATAAGTAAGTAAATAAAGAGATGAAAAGGGAAATCTTCCAGGTTCCTGTCAAACCTCATTCTCACTAAGATGTTCACACATGCAGAGTACCTTAAGGCATTATAAATCCCAGCACTCAGAGGCTGTGGCAGGACAATCGCCACAAGCTCAAATCCAGCCTGTGCTACATAATGAGACCTTTCTCAATAAAATAAAATAAATAAACAAAAGACTTTATAAAGTGATCCATTAAAGGGCAGCCTCAATTCCCAGGGTACCACACTAGATACTTTAAACTCTGTGGAAGGCTGGCTGCAGGTGTACTGAGTGGAAAAGATGCCCGTGAGCTTTGCTGGATTCATTGTGGAAGTTTAAGGTTGTCAACATTCACAAAGTCACTGTCTGAAGACACCATCATTAACTGAAAACTACGTATTTCTGTAGACTGTGCTGGGATCAAGCCCAGGGCCTCACATTGCCTAGGCAAATGTCCTCCGCTCAGTTGTGCCTCCAGTTTGTGCTGTATTTGTTAAGTTAGCATGCTAGAAACCACTAGAAGCAACCCACAGGATCACTGAGGAAGCTACAGGAGGCACATCTGGTCTCCAGGGGGCCTTCACCTATTGGCGAAAGGTAAAAAAGGCATCACCAAGAGACTACCTAGGAAACAACTTACTGGAAATAGGAGTCAGACACATGAACACACCCACATTGGTCTTCCTCTGAGTAGTGATGACTCCATGTCCACATGCCATGGGCAAAGTGGGCAGATTCATCCTACAAAATGTAAGCCACTACCTGGATGTCACCTGTACCTTCAAAATGATCCATAAGAGTCAAGTTGTGAGGTCTAACAATGCCTAGTGCTTTCTTAGCTGAACATTACACATTAAGCAGCAGCCAGAAGTATTTTGAGGTTGGGCTGAAAGAATCAAATAACTAAAAAAGACAAAAGAAGCATTGAGCAGAACAAGCAGAAACCCCAAGGCCTGCTTACACTTTCATTTTTTTCTGTTTCTTTAAGCACCTACAGTGTCACAGATAACTAGGTGCTCAGAATAGAACAGTGAACAAAGAGAATGCTATCTGGGCCCAGGGAGTTGCTGTCTAACAGGAAAATGACCAGGGGGACGAAGGATAAACAAAAAGGGTACAACCCTGTGGTAGCAGACCTTGTGGGGGGAGGAGAAGCGAAGACAGATGTATCAAATTTGCCATTTGAAGAGATTACTCCTTTATCTGGTAGCCCCTGGCATACACCTTTGGCACAAAGCTTTTCACCGGCAGCTTCTCTACCTGTATCAGTGTACCCCAGGGCTATTACCTTCCTGGTACCCAGACACCGTGAGAAAACTGGGCACTGGCTAACAGTTGGCCAGGCTGATGTGTGTTGCCTGCACCAACGCTATCTTCCAGCAGGCATTTCTGTCCCACAAGAGATTATTTGTACACCAACAATTTCTTAACACATTTAAGCAAGATTCCCTTTATTACTAAACTTCCTCTGAAAACACCTTCCTGAAACATATTTTCAGGTCATTCTTCATCAGTTAGTTGTGGAAAATACGGGGTTTGTTCTGTTAATATAACACGATATCATACATTAATCAGACATTAATGTTGGCATTTTCTGTGAACATGTTAGTTTTCTAAAAAATAAAAATTATAGATAGGAAACACTACTAAATCCAGATAAGGACAAAGAAATAAGAAAATATCTCAAGATTAACAAGCTCCAAATATAGCATCAGCTGAATGAAGAATTTGAATTTGTATTCATTTATTCATATTGTTCATAAACATTTATTGTACACCTATTATTTATGCTTTAGGTTTAGATTAGGAAAAATACAGGGGTCAACTGTTTTTCAGTGTAAAATATTAAAAATAGGGAAAGATCTACAACACCCCTCTTGCAAGTCTGGCTGACAGTGGTATATATTGGTCCTGGTGACTGACCACTGAGACCCTGAGGGCATCACTCTGTGTGTTTAAAGTTAAGCCTACAACCACTTCATGCAGAGAACTAGAGACCAAGGCTAACTGACACTATTTTTAAAATCACCACAAATACTCTACAACCTGAATTGTTAAGATCGGTTATATGATTTTTCTTACAGATTTTCAAAGACAAGATCACAGATCATATTTTAGATATAAACTCCGGCATGAATTGCTATCACAAAACAGGCTTGAAACC